AAAAATACAAAACAACTGTTTTAGGTTTGTGTATGGCTTAAAGAAATATGACCACGTGTCCCCTAACATTAAGTTGTTGCAGTGGTTGAGAATACACAATTTATTTGAGTACCTATTCGCTGTGTTAATATACAAGAATACGCTATCTGTGCCTCAACACAGATCTGCTCTTTACGAGCGGGTGTTAATTGGCATAGACACTTCTTTGCCTTATCATCTTTAAAACTATTTCGGAGGAATATTAAAGGCGTGTTATTAGATAAATTAAGTGCTGATTGGGTTTTTTCGTCTTGTAATTAACTAACTAACCAAAAATATTTTTGTAGTAAATATATTAAGTATAGGTATATAATATATAGATTAATTGTGTTGGATTAATGTTGAGTAGCTGACTTACTTATGTAAGAAATAATGATGATTATAATTCTCTGCATGCTGTTATACTAACGATATTGTTATGAACATGTTATGACCATGCAGAGAAGAGGTTTTTATTTTTTTAAGCGGAAACAGTACATCAGATTAAAAAAATAAAACAATTAAGAAATGATTTGAGATTTTGAGAATAATTTTTATTTTAAGAAAACTCAGTGGCGTACCGTAAATATCTGCTAAAATCAACAGGTGAAATTCCGAAATACATAGTACATGTGTTCCAAATTTAATTGAGGTATCTAAAGTGGTAAAAAAATATATTTTATTTTTCAAAACTTTATCACCCAAAACTCACCCTTTTAATTATTGACATTCAATTAGAGAACACCCTGTATATCTAATAGCAATGTGCTTTACGCTGAGTTTTGGTTAGTTAAATTTTTTGTTATGCAGCACCTCGTTTGGTTCGATTGTTAGGCGCTAGTTTGAACGTGTGAATGGAAGGGAAGCCATTAAAACGAACGCCCGAATTCTTAACAGGTGGGAAATACAGTGACTCCACCTAAGTCAGTGCCATACGCGAAACTTTTTTATTCTAAATTTTATGAAAAAAGTTTATTATTTTAAAAAAAAGTTCTACGTGATCTAGTAGCTGATATAAAATTTATTCAACACCGGATATTTTATTTATTTAATGACTGACGAAACTGTTCATTAATATACTTACTAAAATAAATACAAATGGATTACTACAAAATACTTAAGGTATACTATATAATCTACAATAAAAAGTAAAGTTAAACTAATACTAACGCAATTGTAAAAAAGTATAAAATTAAAAAATGTTCGATTGATGTAAAACGTACAACAAAGGACAATTGACAGTTTAAATTAATTAAACTAAATTAACATCTAAGTCTCTTATTTTGACAACGAAAAAGTAATCAAGACTTCGACAAGCGGACGTATTATTAAACGGGTACCGACTGCTCGACTACTGAGTCCGTTCTAAACTACTAAACATTTTGAATTTTGGAGTTTTAAGTCATCAGCAAATGAAAGAACTCCCAGAATCTGAAACATGAATGAAGTAACCAGTGAAATCCTGATGGAACATGCATTTCATAAGACAAAAAATTTTTCACTGTAACAATCTCAGTTCTTTCTGGGATGAGCTAAGTATGGGACTATTCAAGCCCAGAGTTGCAAGCTTAGTAAAAAAAGGTTATGTGTTATGTTATATGGTTATGTATGTAAAGATTTCCAGGCGAGAATATGATCACTGGGAAGTAATATGTGAAACTCAGTTTCGTATCATGACGACATACAAAGTTTTGGATTGTAATATCTGATGATAAAAGAGTAGTTATTCCTCGTTTAAATTTTATTTCCGGTCTTGTAAATAGGCACACGAACAAAACTTGTCTTCAAAACATTTGGAAAGTAATCAGATTTTACGGTAATGTAAAAAATAATGTATAACGCTTCGGCCATCACAAAAGAACAATTAATGGGCAAGATAGGGGAAAATGGTCAGTGAGACTTTAAATATTTTGATAGAGTAACTGTTAATGATAAATGAGAAAAAATTCATATATAATCGTATAAAGCATTTTCATGTAATAACGAAAATTATTTGTTAATTTAATTTTATAAATTGTTGTTTTCAAGTAAGAAGAAATATTGGTGTCAAATGTATATAATCGATTTACAGATTACATATTACAGATTACATATGTTAATCAATAAACCAGACCGTTTTATTTGCCAAGCTACATACAAACACAGTGATTATAAAAAAAAACTATTACACAGAAACGGAACATACCTGCGTTGTGCAGACATGTATTAAATCAAAAATGATATATTGTAACTATAAAAAAATATTGTTTTAAACTAAGACTAACAAAAATATAGATATAACTAAATATAACGTCGTTCAGAAAGGAAATAGGGACAAAACCTCTATAGCGACAACTGAAGCCACAGAAAATCTTAGCATATTATACACTATATATACGGTATATCATTTTGTTCCAGTAAAATCTATTTTTTTAATTTTCTTGCAGAAATTCTATTTTGTAATTTGATGATTAGGTGTGGCATTCCAATCACTAGCAGCGACATAGATGATTGACTTGAAAAATCGCAGTTTTATGTTGCGACAATTTAAAATCAGTTATATCTGGTGTTAGGATAATGCTCGAAGGCATGAAACAGCCCTGCGAGATAGGGCGGCCTGCCACCAAGTACAATTCCAATTACAAAACAAAGCATGTGATATTTTCTGTGATACCATATTTAATAATTTCTTAGAATTTAAATAGGGTGTTATGTGATGTCGAAAGGGTACATTATATTGTAAGCACACCTTATGCGCGGCTTTTGTAGCATCTCGATTTTTTGTATCCTCCGCAAGGTCAAAGAGTCCCCATAGACCACGTGGCTGTAATCAAGCAGCAATAATATCAGTATTACAAAGCTGAATCTTTAGCGTAGATGGCAAATGTCGCTTAATAGATTTTTTTTCCACACTCTTCTGTAAAATACCTAATTATATACGTGATTTTCTTGTCCCGAGCGAGTTCGGTCATTTCCGGGATATTACCGCACGGGTTTTCAGAGATTTTGGACTTTTGGCAATTCTGACAGTCGTGTCAGTGAATGTATTCGTGTTGTTTTGCAAAAATATACCCAAAAACTGACTCGTTTATTGCACACTCGCTCCGCTCGTGCCAAATAAACTCGTGACTCGAACGCAGTTTGCCACACATGTTGCATAATATACTATTAACGCATATAGGCAATTTGAAGCTTTTTTCCACGTGCGTTTCAAACAATAATCCGGTCTCAAAGATTACGCCCAAATTTTTTGCTTCATAAATCAGTGGAACAGGAAGATTTTGAATTATTATGTTTAAATTGGTCTTGATGAACTCCTCATTATTTTTGTTGCCAGCAAATAGCAAAACTTATGATTTTCCAGGATTCGGTTTTAAATTGTGGTCGAAGGCATAAATTTGTCAATATTGAATGACATTAACAGTTGAGAATCATTGGCGTATTGCTGCAATTGAGCTGCATTTACCCATATCTGGGATGTAAATTGAATAATATGGGACCTGGAATAGAGCCTTGAGGTGCATCAGCGGACAGTCTGCCGTAATTTGACTTTTCAATTTAATTATCCGTGATAACCGCGACGCAATGCGTTCCATTTTTGAAATAACTCTCAAAAAGTTTGATTACACTAGAAACTTCAAAATAGCGGAGCTTGACTAGCCAGATTAATTATTGGGAATTATGCTGTTTAAAGTTACAACATGATAACTTTGATTAAACATGTGTTTTTCAAAAGCTTTGGAAAGCGCAGGGAGTATTCTTATTGGGCTGATACCAAATGATTTATACAGAATGGCAAGTATAATTTCAAATCTTGTATAAAAATTCCATTCATACCATTAGTTTTAATTTCGTTTGTTACATCACTTTTGTTCCAGAGGCGAAAGTTAAACCGCGGCATTCCATGCTCCAAACTGTTTAAATTGTAATACTGGATAGTCTCTTTCGAGACCGTCAGTAACTGTTGCACAGTGTTTTAAAGTATTTATTAACTGCGCGTTTAACTGGTCTTTTTGAAAAATCTTTGCCTTTTTTACTGGAAAAGTGACTATAAAATACGCTATTTTTCCTCGTATTATTGCGTGTTCTGTATAGTTTCTAAGTTGCTTATAGTATTGAAGATGTGCTGGTTTTCGTGTTTTCAAGTATTTGTTGTGCGTTTTTTATCTCAGATGTTGTCAGTTGTCCAATGCGTAGGACCTTTTTGTTTTTGTTTTTTCTATTTCGTGTTTTTTCGTTAATGTCCTTTCAACACTTTCTTGCTTAGGAAAATTTAAATTTAAGTGTGTGGACCTCATTTAGAAGAAGTATAGTTTACTGGGTGAATTGTAGAGGCTCTAGGAAAATATCAATGTCGCCTGGGGCACGTCAATTTTCACTGCAGTCTGGCAACTGCATTATCGATATAGTTATAAGATACATGTAATAACCTTATAAATATGATCCTAAGCTTTTAACCCGCAGATAAATCAAATACACAAATTTTGAACACTGTGAAACCTATTTTTTTATTGCAGATGTTAAGCATTTAAGGTTTGTCGGTTATTGATTTAAATTTATTTATATTTTAGAAAATCTTGATAAGTGAAAGCTTAAAATACTATAGGACAATGTGCAAAAGTTCTTGGAATATTGAGAACCTCTAAATCGTTTTGTGGCGTCCTCTTTTGAAGAGCGTCGAAAGGAAATAAAGAAAGTCCAGTAGAAATCATGGTTGCGATTTTATCTACTGCCTTAAACCAGGAGGTTACCCAAATCTCAATAGAAAAGTTTTAGATCGGCTTTAGTCATATTATTCCTTATTTTCGGGAGCGTTCAAGTAGAAGTAATACATTTATGATAAATTAATTATTTATTAATTAATAATTAATATAATTAAAACTTTGTATATATTCGTAATAATTTATTTGGCAACTACAAACTTATACACTGTGTCTATATTTATGTTTCATGGAACACTGAAGGACAATGTTGCAAAAAATAAGAAGAAGTTTCCTATTTTTATATTCTATGATAATAACCTCTTTCATTTTGGAAATTATTAAATTAATTTAAAAATGCAGTCCCTAGTGGAAATTGACGGGTCTACTTTAGAAGGGGTACATAAAACTAGGCAATAACTAATATCTTTACAAGTAATTCGCATTTATTCCAGGGAGGTCAAATTTTGAGAGTGGCTCTTACATTAAGCTGTCTCAAAAAAATTCCAATAAGAATATTTAAAATCAGAGCTGGGAGGAAAAACAAAACTGGCCTTCTGGAACAGCACTTGAAAGGTATGGATCTGCAACTATCTTTAACTAATTACAAGTAGGTGTATAAAAATGTAGGAGTGGAGTTACTTCAACAAATGTGTTCAGCTAAAGTTCAAGGCGCCCAAATCGGCTCCAATGAGGTGAAGTTTTGCCCCGGTGACCTACGAGGGGGCTTCTTTACAGCTTTTGTGAAAACTGCTGGCAGCATAACGCTACTGATGCAGCTCGCAATTCCGTGTGCAATATTTGCTAAAGAACCAGTGACATTAAGATTGTTCGGCGGTACCAATACCGAAATGGCGCCCCAAATTGACTATACAACTGAAGTGTTCAGACCAGTAATGGAAAAATTTGGTGCAACATTTGACTTTGAGTTGATTAGGAGGGGCTATTTTCCCAAAGGTGGTGGTGAAGTTATAGTTACAATCAAACCTATTCAAGCATTAAAGCCGGTAATTATGACTGAACTAGGGAATGTAACTTCAATTTATGGTTGGAGTTTTGTTGCTGGTGTTTTGCCTGAGGAACCCTGCCATCTAATGGCAAATGGAGCTGCCAGTGTTTTACGAAAAGTATGTAGGAATGTGGATATTGTAAAATACAAGGAAGACAGAACTATAGCGCCTGATACAGCATGTGGTATAATGTAAGCAATAATTTATAAATAACATTTTCAATATTTCTTAAACAATTTAGAACATTTTGTTTTTAAACTGAAAAAAATCCTGATCAATAACAAATAATCCTTGGGTACTCAAATTTTTTTTTTCTTTAATTTGACGTTTATCTGTATGCTTTTGTGGGGCCGACATCACCTGGCCCCGAAACCGAGAGAGACACTTCTCCCTTTTATGTAACATCAAGAGCATATGTGGAAAGCGACATAAAGGCCACTCGGCTTGAACGGCCTAGTGATGATGGAGCAACAATATAGTAAACTTGTCCCTAAAGATTAGAAATATATAGAACAGATGTTAAACCGAATGCCACATGTCATTGCGCGAGATTGAATTTTCTATAGCCTTTAAAGTATCAAAAAATTGCATATATTTTCAGTTTAATCTAGAATCTAGAGCATCAGGGCGTACTTGCATTATATTACCACATTTATTTGCTTGTGTTTTCCAAAACAAATTTAGTCACAAATATTTATGTTGGGGCAAGTTAACATAACTTATTTGGCACAACAGCGGGCCTATTGGACCGGATAAAGTAAAAAAAAAACAATCTATTGTAAATACAAAATTTGATCAAATGATATAGCAAATAGCTTTCAAAAAAGAATGATTAAAAATGCTTTTGAAATAACTAGTTTGTGCGCAATAATACAGATTCATTCGTCATATGCTTTCTCCATGATATTCTCAGCATACTTATCCATATCACTTTTCTTCATTATCTTCTCTTTCAGAGTTATGGATTCCATTCCAAGTATACATAATAAATGTAGTATTTAACCATATAATATTGGCCATTTAGTGTTGAAACTCTGTGATTGAACTTCTACATCCTGGTCCAAAACTGAATTATTTTTAGAAATACTTAAAGTCAGTAAGGCATTAGACAGAATATTTAAAGTCAGTAAGGCATTAGACAGATAAGTTCGAAATCATTGCATCCTTTTGGATTTCTCATTTTAGATATAGGGAAGAACGCAGACGTTAACTAATCTTTTGGAATATAACCGGGTGACACAAGAAAGATAGCCATTTGAAATTTGGAAGGGTTAATACAGGCCGAATATACAATGGTTGCAATTCCGGTTTGAACGGAAACGACAGTAACTTTCGAACTTTAAACGGATTCAGATCATTTTACTTCTTCTCATTGGAAACAAAAACTTTTTAAAACCGGTACTTTTTTTGTAACATTTTGACACCAAAATTTTGAAAAACCTTTAAAAAGAAGCTCACAGGAAGGAAAAAAACCAGATAAGTAAATATATATTTATAAAAACAAAATATTACTTAGGTGGCTTTGCTTCTATTTATTAATTATTAATTGTCATGTCGGTAAGATTAAAAATGCAGAAGAAACTCCCGGCAAGCTAATGCAGCGGAAAGAAAAAAATAGATTAGTATTTAAAAAAAATAAAATTCAAGAGAGAGTTTCTTCTGAGATACAAGGATTAGAATTTTTTGTTGAAAGTGTTTTATTATGGTAAAAAAGTTGAAATGCTTTTGGAATATGTGGATACAGTCAAAAACTAACGTAAGTATTGTATGTATATGTACGACATAAGCTACGAGCACTTTTTAGCGGAAACTCGGAAGAATAAGAGAATAGAATTTTTTTTCTTTTCAAATCTGACACTTTTTGCGATAATTCAACACACTATTTTGAAAATGTATTAGAAAATAAAACCTCAACAATCTGTTAAACAATAAACACAGGAAGGAAAAAACTAGATAAGTAAATACATTTTTCTACTCCCGTCTGTAAAATACCTAATTACGCACCGATCTAGCGTGCGGGAAGCGTCGCTTTACCACGTCAGTTTCGTTTCCCACGAATCCGAGCCACTTCGGATATTTCCGGGATTTTACGGAGATATTTCCCACGCTTTGAATTTTGAGGTTTCCCAATTCTGACAGTCATGTCAGTGAATGTATTCGAGTTTTGCGAAAATGTACCCAAAAACTGACGGTCGTAGAAAAAGTATAGTATACAACACGTTCGGTAAACTTTTTAACTCGCTCCGCTCGTGTCAAATAAATTCGTGAGTCAAATGCCGTTTACCGCACTTGTTGCATAATATACTATTTTTTAAAAACAAAATATTACTTATGTAGCTTTGCTTCTATTCATACATTTTTATCTAATTATGAATTTTGTAGTGTTATCGATTTGGATTGTCATGGAAAATAATCAATTTACAAATGGAGAAAAAGTTGATATCTTTCTGATACCTATATATAAAACTCCCAACAGGCCCGTACATTGTATGCAGCCCGCTATACGGGACATCGCCTTCCTGCACATTCTTTCTTTAGAAAGCTGTTATTCAAAATCAGAAATCCACAAAATAATTGACATGATAATTTTATTATAAGTGAAGAAATGGAAATCAATGTTGTGGGATACGTCAACGTAAATCCAGCTGCGTAAGAGAAGTGGCATTAAATCTTAAGAGAATTTGTAAGAAGAATTAAAAAAAAAAACACATCATTCTTTTAAGTATAACCTTCATCAACATCTTTATGAAGCTGACTTTGTAAGAGTACTAATTGGGAGTTAAATAAACGTGACAGAATAATAATTTAGTTAACTTAATTTTGTTCACTGATGAGTGACGATTCTCAAATAATGCTATGTTTGACCGGCAGAACAACAGGTATTGGTCTTCAAATAATCAAAGAATTATTCGTTCCGGAAAGTTTCAAGAAGGTTCGGAATCAATGTTTGGACAGGAGTAATGGTGTCTTAACTGGTGGACAAAATTTACAATTACTAAGAAATGAAATTGAAGACTCGTTAGATGATTTACCTCTTGCCGTGACATTTAGTATGTATTTTCAGCAGGATGGCGCGCCTCCTCATAATTTTAGAAATGTCACTGAACATCTAAGTTGATGTTTATGGGGATAGACTAATCTCAACAAAGTCAATAAGCCCCCATGGTCACCGGACTTGAAACAGTTAGGTTTTTTTGTTTGGGGGTATATGAAAGACTGTGTTTATGTAACTCCAGTGTTCGACCTACAAGAGTTACAGCAAATGTTCCATCTTAAAATAAATTGGTTATTAAGTAAATATCTATCGCAGTTAAAAAATAAATGATTGCGATGTTTTGTGTCAATGGAAAACTTGTCTTACAGTAACACCACTTTCAAAACGATTCTTCTGGCATTGTTGAGGTCTTATTTTCTAATATATTTTCAAAATATTATGTTGAATTGTCCAAAAAAGTGACAGATTTGAAGAAAAAAAAATCTATTTTTTTGTTCTTCTGAGTTTCCGGTAAAAAATGCTTGGAGCTTATGACGTAGTTATACATATCATACTTATGTTAGTTTTTGACTGTATCACCGTATTCCAAAATCATATCAACTTTTTACCATAAATGTTGCAAAAAAGGACCGGTTTTAAAAAGTTTTTGTGTCCACTAGGGTCCTATTTGAAAAAACTAGGTTATCCTAAAAAATTAATAGTTCATTACATTACATGCTATTTGCCATTAGACAAGTAAAGAAAAGTGTGTATTTATGATGGTCACAGTCTCCTAGACACAATTTTCAAAAATTAAAAAAAAGAGAAAAACTGTCTCGTATGTGATCTATACATAACATACTCAGTGGTTTGGACTACAAATCTGAGAACTGTTTGATTTCAGCATATTTGGACTATTAGTATTGAGAAAATTTTTAACGGTTTCAGTTTTCTCAAAATATCTTTTTTGTTCTTTAGTTAGCGGACATAGTGTGTAGTGTAATTTAATTTCTTTTTATCATTCTGTTTCAGTTTAGTCGCTGAAACTGATACGGGTTGCATACTGGGATCAAGCGCCTTAGGCAAAAGAGGCGTGTCCCATGAAGCTACGGGCAGAATGGCGGGGGAAAGCCTGCTGCAGCCGATCGAAGGAGGTGCCTGTGTTGATTCCTTCAGCCAAGATCAAATTATAATTTTTATGGCTCTGGCAAACGGCCCTTCGGTAGTGAAGGTCGGCAGCATTACTCTTCACACTAAAACAGCGATTTTTGTGATTGAAAAGTTGACTAATGTGAGTTTTATAAATAGCTGACGGAGTGATTTTTTTATGACGTGTAAAAGCAAACTACTGGTATTTCAATTCCAAACCGGTATTTCCGACTGATGGAAAAACAGTTAAGTTGCTGTTCTTAATGCTTATAGTGGGACCAGACATCTATCGAACTCATTATTATTCATTGCCGTTAGAACCCGGCTCAGAGTAATTCAAAGGCGGAAAGAAAAACCTTGATATAATGTTTGTTTAAATCAAAGTTGAACTCCTTTTCTATTAAGGATATCCCTAAATATCTATTTACCAAAGTTTGACTGAAATATGTCTTGCGAAGCATTAAAAAATGCTTGACAAAGTAACATATATTTCAGAGTGATATAAAACGTGATTCTTAAGTTGATCAGTTCATGGGCAAATAACAAATTAACAAATAGTTTTCGACTTGGTTTTTATATTTTTTATTTCGCCAGTTCTTACTCTACTTTTTTTGGTTGAAAAGTGCCTAACATTTTTTATTAAAACTTTGACCGCTTTGTGTGTAATTATCGAAAACATAGCAGACACAGAAAATAGTGACACAAAATAAATAAAAAAAGGGTCTTTAGTTAATCGAACCCAAGAAACATTTTTTTAGTTTACATACTATATATATAACTTCTCGATTTAACATGTATCTTTCGAACACTGAACGTTTTTGACTGATCAGCTTAAACTAGAACTTATATTGACACAACTGTGCTATCAAACTCGAACAGCTCTGCTAAACTAGTCGACGAAAATCAGTGAAAATTGAACATTCCGACAAAGTAGTTCTCTGTTAATAAATTTATATTAAATCAATGAAAAACTCACTGAATACATTTCAGTTCAGACAAGAGAATCCAAAAGTCTGAACTTGATGCACTGTTGGGCGTTACATGCTCGCAGATATCATCCCAGGTGTTCGTGTTAAGAGACCTTAAAAGTAAATTATCCCCCGCTATTCTGAGAATTTTGCATTTATTCACAGCCAATTGCTGTTAAGCTGGGCGGCTTATGCAGGCATGGTTTTTGTCCTCCAGAAATCGGCTATTAGGATTTTGAACGGGCTCTCCGTGGTGCATTTTGTAGACCATTTTCCTTGAAGCACAAGATTATGACTCTTTCCATGTTTGAGACTCTTGTAGAAATACATAAAAGAAGGGTTAAAACCCTAAGCATTTACAAATCCAACGTCACGGGTTCGCCGGAGTGCTAGTAACAAACTAGATCTCATATATACGAATCGCTTTAGTAAAATCGACATAAAGAATATGAATGTAAGCAAATTTAAATATTTTGTTAAAAATTATATGACGGAAAATGTGTTTCATTCAGAAGAGGCGTTCATAAATATTGCTCACCAGAACTGTCTATGTATTTGCTATTTAGGTGTAATTTTACCAATGCAACATTTATCTATATGTAAATAATTATATTCATTTTTTTAATAGTTTTTTTTCTGATTTCGGTTATTCTAAAGTATTTAAAATTTCTCCATACAATGAAAATTACTTTTTTCTACTCCCGTCTGTACAGTACCTAATTACATACCGATCTTGCGTGCTGGAATCGTCACTTTACCACGTCGTTTCTTTCCCACTTCGGACATTTCCGGGATTTTACCGCACGGGTTTGGGAGCAATCGGATATTTTCGGAGATATTTCCCACTCTTTCCCACGTCATGTCAGTATTGTTTTGCGAAAATATAATCAAATACTGACGGTCGTAGAAAAAGTATAGTATGCAACACGTTCGGTACACTTTTTGAGTCACACGTTTATTAAACACTCGCTCCGTTTGTGTCAAATAAACTCGTGAATCAAATGCCGTTTACCGCACTTGTTGTATAATATACTAATTTCAATAGTTGTTATATTCAGAAAAACACTTCGAATTCAGAGCAAACATCAGTTTTGGTTAATGATGTGATGATGTTAACTATTCCAAAGCTCTAAAAATGAAGATGATGCATTTCCACAAAAAATATTTGTAATTCTACGTCGTATGTTCAAAAGTACAATTCTTATTTATGTAAATGATTTCGGCTAAACAAAAATTGAGTCGTTGGCTGTTCAAGCAAATCCGCCCTTTCAAGGGGGCAAAACAATTTTCATTTTTGAAAACGTTGCACAACTGCACAAGTTTGCAAACGGGTCCCACAAAAACGCGTTGTATAGTCCCGGGCTTAGCAAAAAACAGATTCTATCTCGTTTGACGCGTTGATCATTTCGCATATCGTACCAGTGTGCAGCGGTTGGAATGAAATGTTGCGCTGCTAGTTATCTGTCTGTATTTATAAAGAAACTAAAAAAGTGAAAAATGGTTTATCCAACACGTTGTGAAAAAGTGATCTTTCACATGAGATATTTTGAATGCATCCGAGAACACGAGTTCTTTAGAGAGAGCAAATGTTTTCGTAACTTCACTGGAATGGATATCTTATTAATAGCACGTCACTTCTTGAATAAAACAAACGACCAACTAAACTTTAAACCAAAACAAATCATCCGCGATGTAACTGTTGCAATAATCTATCAAATTTAGGTAGTTTAATTATTCAGATTATTTATTTGACCTGGGATTAATTAATCTGTTTTTGTCCGTATCCGAAGGGATGTGCATTTTTAATGAGATCGATAGATTGGCGGTGATACTACCCCTAAGCGTTTTTTTTTTGGCAAAATAAAACACCTCAAGTTAATTTGTCCCGCCAAAATGTTTATATGTGGTTATAAAATATTCCAAAACTTAACAGCGTTATTTACCGGTAGTTTACCTTTCCTTGCTAAAATTGTGGTTAACTATTGTTTTTTTGTAGGTCAGTTTTACGATAACGCCCGATTCGGATTGCAACATAATTCGCTGTACAGGAAGTACTTAAGTGTTGGTTTAAAATTTTTAGTTATTGCGTAAACAGCAATGTGGAGAACTTGGATATTTGGCTAAGGAAAACCATAGAGTTTTCCGTTTCTGCACCAAAAGATCTCCCGGTTTTGGTCGTCAAAAGACAGAGGTTCTTAATATAGTTTTGTAAATTAATATAAATATTGATAAACTGTTGGAAAGTAAAACCAAAATATCTTTATTTATATATGTTTTTATTTTTCGCTCCAAGAAATGAAACGTAAAAAGTAATATATGTGTACAAAATTTGGTTTGTTTTCATACCATTCCTTCATTCATAATTTGTTAAAAATTTATATCTATATTGTCTCAATTTCTCTTGAATTTGAGTACTCAAAATTACATAAAAATAGTTAATGTAAAACTCGCCAAATAAAATACAATCCTTATGTGATATATACAATATTAAATTTTGGATTTTGGAAAGGGCAAATAATGGCGTGAAAACCTCAACTCTTGCCGCAACACGCCATCGAATATGGCCTCGGGCTCTATCGCTTTTAAATCTGTATGCTGCTTCAACATCTTCTGATACCGATTTTGATTTTCTGGACTGCAGATAACGAAGGTGTTGGGTCCACTTCTTCCTGACAATTTTGATACGCTCCTACCCCCACAGGACTCTATCGCTCCTAAAACAGACTTGCACCGTCAAAAAGTAGCAGCCTGTAAAACTTTAAACATTAATGGTTTCCCCATTAAGTCGGTGATTTATGTTAATAGAAGACTCTAAAATAACAGTTATTATCAGAGATGCCGTTTCCAAAACAATGCTAGCTGTCTTTGCTTTTCAGACACAGAGGAAAACAAGAAAATTTGGCATTTTCGGTTATTGCATTTCAAACACCCTGTATAGCCATGAGATGATGAGAACGGAAAATAAATAAATCTTTTTCCGTAGAATCCAGCAGCGTACTCAGAACTTGTTTAAAAGATATAATTTTTAAGATTCCATGTAAGGTTATGTCTTTTTAATGGAACACCCTCTATTATTTTAAAATTTGATAGCGCTTTTTATAGGCTTTTCAAAAATTTTAATCTATCGGTCCTAATGTTATTCCAGTTAACATATCACTGTTATTTTTATTTAAACGAACACAATACATAAAATAGTAAACAACTATTTTAAATAGCTACCAGACATTTTCCACAAAAATTACAATTTTTTTTTGAATATTACGATAAATGGTCTAGAGCGTAGAATTCAGAATTTAGTGGCGTCCTCGGCATTTTTTTAAGCGGAGTAAATGTATGAAAGGACAGAATCATATTTTCTAAAATGTAACTATATATGTTTATTTAAAAAAATATATTTAGACCATTAAAAAACAAAACTCTTGCTCGCATCTTAGAAATTATAACTGCAAAAAAATCTGAGTGCGCCACTAGATTCTATTTAAAAATATCTTTAAAATTCCGCCTTCATCAAGTCATTACGATACAGGGTTTTCAAAATATAAAGGGTTACTGAAATGCCCAAATTTTCTATTTCACCCTGTATCTCTTTTATATTTGAGTCTTTTGATTCACGAAAATCGAGCACAGTATTGCGCATCGTTTTATTTCTAATAAACAGCCGAGACACCCCGCAATAATAAAACATTGTTTACGAAAAAGATGCATACCTAAATTCGTCTTCTAAAACTGATATGTATGAAAAAGTATGAAAAATGTAAAATCACAGCTTTACCTTTCAGAACGTCAGCGGCTGTTGTTACCATCAATTGGAACGTGTAATCCTCTAATAGTTTCATTCTCATACTCCTATTTAACGATTCTTCTAACGAAAAGTTCCATTTTTTCTCAGCTTCCTGGTCTCTTAAAATATAATCCCACGGATCTGTAATATAATCTATGTGGGTATACTTTGGTTCAATGTCAAGTGGGTATTGTAGGACAGAGCATATTGTTTTAAAACTATAACGATTACAATAAATGTTTATTTAGGTATAATAATATAATAGAAAATATGATGGCACTAAATATGCCCATGTTTGCATTTTTGCTTGTGTTATTCATTACACTGCCACTGTTTTCGGAAATACTTTCTAAAAGCTAATTTTGAAACCAGTTTTCAAAAAGTGCTGCACTTCTTATACGTCAATAGTCTTCGCAGACAACAGAAAAACGTTTCGAATAAATCCACCTTCTGATCCAGCGTGAATTATGGTGATGCGTTTTCCTTCAGTTGAAGGTGCTTTTGTCTGACAGTTTTCAATGGAATCAACCTATCCTTTGAATACTATATCATGGGTGTCAACCAAGTTTAATTTTTTAATTTCCTAAAGATAATTTACTACATCCCGCCATCTGTGCGATTCCATTACCATTTGTTTATTTTTTTTTTTTTGCGGTAAGTAAGTCCCATTTTAGATATAACTATTTAAGGTAGCACGGCTAATAATTATATTGGTTTTATCTTCTTCAAGATTCCTTTTCAGTTTATCCAAATTAGGAACAATCTGGTTTGGTGAGATTGAAAATCAGTACTTTTTTTTTTCTTTCATTTAATAATGATAATAAGTAGGCAAGTCCCTACACATTTCGCAAAAATTAGTTTTGCGTGATTTCGATGACACATAACGGAAAAAATTGAGTAAAACGGGTTATTCAATAGTGTCGACAGGTAGTCATACAACTACCTGACCCGCCCCTTACTTATGAATATAGTCAAGTCAAAACGGTACACTTCTAACATATCATCCAGTCAGAATCCATAGAATGCTAAAGAAAATATCACAAAAACATCACTTCGTCCATAAAATGAGGCACGTTGTACGGCAGTACCAAAATGTGTTAAGTGCGGAGCAAATCATAAAAAGAAATACCGTTAGAATGCGCTAATGGTATTGGAGAACGCTAGACTGCATCCCAAAAGACCAAAACCAACAATATCATCCAAATTACGCAAAAACCACCTAGAGCAACCTACAGCAACGATACAGACAGCTCCCTTGTTCAGATTCCAATGGTCATACAACACCGCAAGGTTGTTAAAATATTTACGACAGTTATAAAAGATCCCAACCAAAAAAGCAAACGGCCATAGGCCTTGCTTGAAAAAACCCCAATTTCAGAACCAATCCAGAAGGAGTATTTTGTAAGTTTCACAAGGTATATCGTCGGACTTTCCCACAAATCTAATTAGGAGCGTCGCACCTATTCTTTCAGATATGGTTAACCCAGTCCAAGGACCAATAATTTATTCATAGATAAGGGACGAGTCAGGTAGATGTCGATCACAGGTCGGCTGATATCAGTGGCAGTGATGAATAACCCGTTTTACCCCAAGTTCCGAAACAACTTACGAATGTATCACCACTTTTTACGTTATGTCGAGTTGAAATCACTTTTAAGTAAATGGAAAACAAATTATGAAAAATGTGTGTGAATAAGCAACAAGCCTTAACCGAAACTCGCCTACTTACAAAAACACCAACATCCTCGAGATAGGTCATTGTTGTCACTGTGAATTATTAAAAACAGCTTGTTCAAGTGTCAGAGCAGAAAATGTAACTCCTACTTTAAGCTGGAGTGTAATAAATTTAATTATTAATATATCTTATTAAGGATTCCAGTTTGTGCAGAACATTTTAAAAACTGGTTTCAAAATTATCTTTTAAAAAATATATAATGTAATTGTAGTGGAGAACGCAAACTATCACAGCCATCTGCTACAAAAAGCCTCACATTCAGCAAGTACAAAAACTGAAATTCAGAAATATTTGTTACAAAATGATACACCATGGAACATCTGTGACACCAAGTAATAATACACATGTTGAGAGCTGGAAAAATGAAGTGCCACATATATTAAAAATTAAAGTTTCTTACATTTGCATACATAATATCATAGTAATTAATCTTAATGACGACTCTGAGAATTAGATTTTGATAATTAATTGATTTTATAATTTGTATATTGGTATTGGTGTTAAAGGGGGCGCCCTCGCGGGCGTCCAAGCACTTAGGCCACCAGATAATTTGTATATAATTAGGGTCATATTTTCTCTTAGTACTAACGTGATTTTATAATACATAATTAGCATAGTATATTATTTAATTTTTATATTAAAAAAAAAAAAACTTTAAAGTTCGTCTCTGATGCTCGGTCCTAGAATACCGACTGTCGAGGTGCCTTATTGCTTTCGGCAGGTTATTTCGATAATTTTCATCAAACCATACCCAGAAAACTGCCCTTCCTCTTTGAATCGGTGATCCATTTGGGTGAGCAGATCGGCTTTGACAGACCGATGGCCACCAGCAGCTTCTGCGACCTTTTGACTTGCTCTGTGACCAACACGGTACAAGAGTTAACCGACTGCACGACGCTACCACCTGAAATAAACAAAAATATTAAAAGGGATTCGTGAACGATTCTCACTCAGTTTACCCAGCTGTCGGATCATAGCTTCCATTTGCGGGCTATCCATCATGGTGAACACGACTTTTGGTTTTTGTTTCCGCAAATTTCTCTGTAATGGTTTTATCGAAACTCAAGCTTAATACATAAGTGAAAGGAAATGCGAAAAGTTACCTAAGATTTTTCGATTTTTAGAAGAAAAAAAAATTATACATTGTACAGTGTGTCCCATTTTTGGAGCTCCCTTTTCAACGAACTGTGGTACAAATAGAAGTGTCTTAGCTATCTTGGATTTTTAGATACATTGTGCAATTTTAGACATGTTTTCTCCTTAATGGTAGATAGTCTGGGTTAGTCGGATGGCTAGCTGGTCGAAATGGTGAAAACTCAGGATGGGATTTTTTACGTAGGTGTGGTCGATTTTCTTGTGCTTTTTTATGGGGCCCCTTTAATAATTCACATACAAAGCGTATTACGTAATTTATGTTTAAAATATACTATGTGACCTACTCCTAAAAAAAAAAATTATATATTTTTAAAAAGCGAATAACAAGTCTAATAAAATTATTAGACGACATACAGAGTGTTCCGATAAAAAAGTTAAGTTTATATAGCAAAATTTGTTGGCTTGAAAAGAAAACTGCTACAGCACTGCATCCTACGCAAAAATCCTTATCCCTAGCAATCTTTTAGCATCTTTTCGGTTTATACATAACCGAGCTATTAAAGTATGTCTGAAAATGCAAAATGTCCAAAATCAATCTGTATGTACGTATGTTTGATATATAAGTGTCATCTTTTATTTTATGAAAGAGTAGATTTGGGTACCTTTATTAATAAGAGTAGAACACCGTATAAGCATAAAAAATGGAACATCCTGTATATAAAATGACATTTTTTTGTTGAGGTTCCTGACCGTATGCATTCAAATGAAATATGATTTGGCACAATATTCGGTCACATAAAACAACAAACAACATAAAGAGAAAGAGAGAGAGAGATAAGATCTAAAAATAGTATAATAGTAAAATTAGTTTTCCCTGGTATCCGGGCTGGACACCGTAACGTATTACCATGCGTAATTAACCAAATCAAATAAAAATTCTAACCTCTACGGTATTCACAATTTCGTCCTTTGGCTGTAGTCTTTGCTTCTTTGGCGTCGACATATGCAACTCAATGGAGCGATCACTGGTGTCGCTAGTGTTGTTTGAACCGACTTCTTCAGTTGTATTCCTCTTTCTGAAGTCCTTTCTACCCCTCGGTGTCTCACTGACCGGCGCGGTTTTCTTGGTACCTGTAGCATAGTGGCGATTCCTTCCATCAGCCGCATCCTGAACTCTGCTCACCTCACTCTCGCAAGAAACTTCTAACTTGCTCATATCGCTATCACCTTGGCAATCTCTTAAAGAACTCGCCACAGCTACTTCCTTAATTTTTTTCGATTCTTTTTTCTTTCTTAAATTTCTCGAATCGCTGTCGGACGTATCTTCAATCTCGATCGTTTTTTTTCTACTTGTAGAATCACTCATGGATGACGGTGGCTTCACAATATCCATTGGTATTTCATGGTCACTAACTTCACTACCTCGGCTTGTAGTTCTTACAGATGAGCATTCTCCCTTTAATGTGCTATGAGCTGAAGAGTTATCCGCTGATCCAAACTCAATGTCATTTTTATTACTGTCAGTCGATATTTTCCTTCTTCTAGGCAGAGCTTTTCTTTTAATAGCTTCGTTAACTCTGATGTCGCTAATTTCATTAACTTTACTTGTAGCACAGTCAGTGGAGAGTTTTCTCTTTGGACGACCTCTTTCCTCCGACCTCGCTGTTTCTTTATTTATTTCTTTATTTATGGAATGAAAAACCATATTCTCCTTAATGGTAGATAGTCTTCCTGCTTTATCAATAGAAAATTCTTTAAACTCCCCTTTCTCAACCGTAACTTTTTTATTATCATCATTTTCTTCAAGAATTACTTTATCAATGGGTTCTACTTCGCCGCTGTCGCATGATTTGCTAGTTTTTGTCCTCGTCCCCGCCCTTGCAGTGATCTTCAGTGCCGCGCCTTGAACTTCCTTATTAATATGGTCTTCATTAGGGTTGTCTGGTTTAAAGTGTTCATGTTTAGCTGTAATTTGCTTATTATCCGCATTTTCTTCAAGAATTTTATTGCCAATGGGTTTTACTTCGCCGCTATCGCATGATTTGCTGTTTTTTGTCCTCGTTCTTGTTCTTGTAGTGATCTCCAGTGCACTGCCTTGAGCTTCCTTATTAATATGCTTGTCATTAAGGTTATCTGCTTTAAAGTCATCGTCTTTCGCTGTTTTTATGTTTTTCAATGCTAATTTCGTATGTTTCATGTTTTGCCCTTTACACATCATTTCCAGCTTTTCAATTTGTTTAGAATTTTTTTTCGTGCTTAATAGGTCTTTTTCCGCCGCCCTGATGGAGGTTGTAGTAACACCCAATTCTTCATTATTGGGTCCATTTGCGTCCTTTGCTTGATTTTCGTTGAGAAATTCCTGATTGCCTCTTATTTCTTTACAAAGAACGTCATGTTTCTTTAAAGTAAGTTCATTTTGTAAATCATCAGTGGCACTTCCTTGTAGGAAGTAGGACAACGGATTTGTCGGACGATCTGAAGGCTCGGCAGAAAACACTTGCTCGGAAGAAAGCTCGACTTCTAGACTATTAGACTTCGCTTCACACTTCAATATAGAAGATAGGGAAGTGTCCAGGGGTCGTGGAAAATTTTTGAACGTGAACTGCTTTTTAGGCAAGGCGTTTTCAGCAAAGCTGGGATATTTTTGAGTAGGCGCAAAATACACACTCTCGTCTTGGTCCGGTTTGTGTTGCTGAGGAACTGTATCGTGTCTTTGTTGCATGTCGGCATCATTCAATTGGGTCTGTGCGAAATAAATATTGTCTTCATCGATTGTTTCTGCGGTTTCGCGCACTAGACTGGTAATTTCAGTCATATTTAACTTCTGTGTGGGAGCTAGATACAAATTCGAGTCTGCAGTATCATCTAAATTAGACATTTTGGAAATACAGATTTTCTGAGTCTGAGCTAGGTATAAATCATTTTCGTCAATTTCCGGAGCGTCCTCTTCAGCCGCTTGGATATGTTGGCGACACGAAACTTTCTCTGCCACAGTGTTTCTAATAGCTTCAGATATCTCATCAACCTTCTGAGTCTGAGCAGAATACAAATCCGAGTTCGCAGTATTATTTGATTCTAAATTGGAAATTTTTTGTGTCGGAGCCAGAAATGAATCGCCTTCAGCAGTTTCTTCTATGTTCTGAACAACTGTAATATTATTTTCGATGTTATGACTAGTTTTGTTAGCTTGATCCAAGTGGTAAGCATGGCGCGTTTTAGATATTTCGCTGTATGAACTTATTGCCTGTGTCTGCGCAGTATAGATACCGTCCTCATTCTCGTTCGTTGCTTCCTTCCGATCTTCAGCAAGTTTCGGAGCGGCGATGTCTGACAAAAACGTTTTGGATCGTCCTTCCTGGGCGATTTCCTCCGTTTTGTCACCGCCGACGCCTTGAGAGTTGTCAAAGAACAGTTGGGTCAGTCCCAGTTTGAAGTTTTCCTCCGAGTCCGCGTGAGTATTAATCTGGTCAGTGGGTTTGGTGACTTGAGTAGCAAGTACGCAGCAACTGTCGTTCAGAGTCATATTCTGTGTGGCCGGAATACTAGTCTCCAAATGTTTTGTCGACGTTTCCGCGTCAGAGTCGGTCTCGATAACGTAACTTTCTTCCTGGGTACTCGGCAATGGGATGGGTTTTCTTTTCGTCGGCAAGATATCGCTGTCCTCACTTTCTTGCGTTGGCGGTATTCTTACGACTTTTCTGCGCTTTCGTTCGATTACGTCCTCGTCTTCAGTCTCAGAATCCGATTCTATTAGAGTCCGAGGTGCTTTCTTTTTAAAACCGATTTGGGATTCGGCGTCCGTCTCTGAAGTTGGCGCATCCTGTGGTTTGGAGATTAAGAAATCTTCAATATCAGTTTCATCGTCTGAACTATTGGATGTCTGTTTGGCCGATCCTTTTTCTCTGGGTTGGGGTTGGTCCTTTTTTAGGAGTTCAAGATCATTAATACTTATTAAGTTTCAGATAAAAGCAATAAACATAAAGAAATGTTTAAGATCATCCTAAATACTAAAGTTTACAGAATAAAATATCACCACTACCTTTTTCCCACGCCACTGGCATTTGTATTACGGAATTGGTGGCTTTTATTTCTCGTCTAGCATGTGCAACAAAAGTAGATAGGTCGTAGTATTAAAAAAAAAATACCACATACGGGGTCTGTAAATTTAATCATGAGACTGGCAACGTAGCGTTCTATCTGGCAACACTGGAGGCGCAGGCTATGAGGAGAGGAAGGGGAATTAGTGATCTGGTTAGATGGTGTTTTATCAAGAGCCCCCAATTTTTCTGCCGCTTAAAGCATTTTCACAAGGAAGAGACTCGTAAAGTGTGTGAACTTCTTCAAGGCTCAAAAAGACAATAACCAACTCGACGTTCAAATGTATGCTGACTTGTTTTTTTCAACATGCATGGAATCGTCCATAAAGATTTTCTACCTTAAGTCAATGAACAATTTTTCAGGGAAGTTAATGGAAAACTTGCAAAAATGGTCTTTGTGGGAGACCGAACATCAAGATTATCTAAGTCGTCACTTCTGAATAGCAAAATATATTTTTAAATTTAAAAAAAGTTAAGCATTTAAGTTTCCAGAGACTTTGTAAATAATTAAAATATCTAGGAAATTCAAATGTCTTGCCAAAATTATAAAAGCGAATTGTATCCAATACCCACTTATGCGTAAGGAAAAAGGGTCTTCTTTAATGGTAAACTTGATATCACTTCCGCATAGAGGTTTCGGTATATGGGTCATGGAGGTTCGAAACGATTATAACATCCTTTTTGGTAAAAGTTTTCATCGAAATATATACTCGAAGCCACCCCGATCAAATTCTCACGTACCGCATTAGTAATTTCTTCTGTGTAACATTTTTTCTTTGCAATAAAGATTTACTTGTAAGATGGTAACATTTTTACTGGTTCTAGGTTATTTCTAGTCTTCAAGAAGAAGATATTGATGTTTAGTTTATTTTGATTCGACGAAAATTGAAACACCTTTTCTGAATCGATTATGAAATTTTCTGAAGAACAGGAAGCTTTACGAACGGAATCTTATTTACACGAGGCAATTATATCATCAGCCTTCGTTGCTTTGTTCTGCATTCACTAAATTCCGTTCGCGGCCGGCCACTCTTGGTTACTCATATAGGCAGTTGCTGATGAATCAGACCCCAAAGTTATTTTTTCTAACCCTCTTAATCAATCGCAATATTTTCTTCTTTTCTCTCCACATGCGTTTACAAATATTGTAATTTGTAATTCTGACGAGTTCTAATACTATAAGAGTATCACCCTGTATAACAGTTTACAAATTAACATTTGTAAACTGAAAATGTCGACGGGTCAACTAAAAACAATTTAAAAAGATCAAAATGCGCAACAGCACAATATTACATTGTTTTACATTTACTGTCATATAATATATACAAACATTTTACGTGGTAAGTTAGAAAATGATAAGTAATTAATGATCGTAAGAGCAAAATTAACATTTTTCTAAAAGTTTTAACTTTATCACTGTGAGTAGAAAATTGTCACTAGGATTAACAATTATTTTGAAACATATTTTCTTATACATATATAAAAGCAATTCTGATTTGAGAACTCTACTATAAAAATTAATAAATAAATCCTAACTTTTTAACGGTAATTAAATATACACACCTAGCCTTTGAAGCCCCATCACGAATGTTTTAGCCCTAACTTGACAGATAAAAAATTATGATTGAATTTAAATTTAAATAATGTGGCAAAACTAGCGCTCTCTATAAGCAAAACATCCAAATAAGTTTCAAATTCGTAATTACATTTAGAGAAGATCTCAAAAGCGATGAATGCGTATTAAAGGATTTTTTCAATTTGTTGATGCAGTTGCCCATGTCTACCCAGTTGTTTCAGATATTTAATAATATTAAACATTTCCACTAGCCTCCAGAAAAACACTTGCAGCATGCTTATAATTGGTGCGGACGAAGAATTTAGCAAGAGTGACGCTGATATTTTATTCCGTAAACATGACAATAAACGCGAACAAAATTTAGTTAATTCTAAGTCACCATTTTTGTGGCAATATATTCAAGTGACCTATTAATTTTTTTCGAAATTTTATAGTTTTGTAGTTCACTTAAAAGAATATCAAAAAATAAATATTGGAACGCAAAAACTCTGTGTAGAAAAAAAAAAGGGACGTGAGTGATATGGTTTTAAAATTATCAATAACAAAAAAGTCCACAAAAGATAAAAATAGCAACTTTCTGAGTAGTGTTTGATATTAGTAACAATTTAGAAACCAGTTAACCAAAAAAAAATCCAAAAAATTTGTAGTTTTATTTTTGCCAATAGAGAGATTAAATTGTATAAAAATCACAACACCTTAACTCATAAATATTTGGTATTTACCTCGGTAAGAAGGGTGGGTGTAGTAATAGACTTTTCTAAGTTAAGAAAATCTACCGAGTCATTACTACTGTCATCAGCATTGATTTTAACGTTGTTTCTACTGACTGATTTCATCTTGTCCCCATTTTCTTTCAATGTTTCAACACTTACATGTGAAACAGCCTTAACACTTGCATCAACCTTTTCCAATAGGGCTGGCAAATCTATCACCTGAGTAACTACATCATGGATATCTAGCTCTGTATCCTTTACTTGCATAACTTCAATATAGTTTTCATTATCCTCAACCGCAGGCACGGGTTCCATGAAGGAGCCTAAATCCTGTGTAGGGCAACTATAGACTGAATTACCCTCGGTCCCCAAATTGACTGCCTGAGTTGCGGCACAAAAAACCTCCAGGTTGTTTTGAATATTAAGGGCCAGTTCTTTGGTAGATTCACTGTCCCTTTCAGTTTTTCTATTTTCAGATGTTGATGGTTCAACTATGTCACCATTTGAGTTTTTGTTTAAAATTGTGCAGGCTGCCATGCTTGTCGTTGTACTCTCTGGCCCTCGGGGATTTTCTGGAATCTTAAATTCAACTAAATTTACCTTTTGAGTTAGTGCCTCGTGAATTTCTTCCCCTTGGGTACACTCTAAATTAGTAATGTCATGGAATACTTGGGTATTTGCCTCATAGAAATTTTGAGTAACATTTTGAGACATCTCCCAACATTTTGAAGGTGGTTTCTACAATCTTGAGCCAATACTATATTTTCAAATCACAGTTGTACAACTTACGGTAGATGAAGAGTATGTGGCCAGCACATTTCCAAATTTTAATTCTGAGTTGCCACTAATCTGGTATAAGCAGAAGGGTTGAATTTTAGCATCTTTAAGAAATGTTCCATTGCTAGAATTTAAATCACAAACGAAATGTTTGTTATCCAAAATCACCACAACAGCGTGGTTTTGACTGACACTCTATAAGATACAATTATGCTGATTTATTTTAAAAAAGCCATTATTTAAAAACAAACCAAATTTTTTATATTGACAGTGGCTTCTTTATTTCGTCCAATGGGGTTTACGCCTTCGTATACGGGGAATTCTCTACCACTTGCCGCTATAATCGCAACCTAAAAGGGGAACAATGGATACCAATATATAAGAATATTTTAAATGCGAACTTGGCTCCTTCCAAACTTGTCCCTAGATAGAATTTCCATTTTTTATTGTTTACAAATTATGAAAAGCAAAACAAAATTTTGAATATCTGAACAAAAATCTTCTTCTTAATTTTTTTTCTTTTTTTGCAAGGCAAAATAGCTAACGGTACTTGCCAATTACCGATAACCGACAAGGATTTTCAAAGAAATCAGAGTGTGTTGAGTTATTCAATAGCCTAGAGGTTTTATTCTCCCATAGCTTTAAAAAAGTGGAACTAAATGTTTTTTTTTATATTAAAGTATCTATACTTTTAATAGTAATTTTTCGTGAATTATTTACATTTATCATCGTGGTTAAAACTATAAGTTAATGAAAACAAATGCTTTGTGCTGATTTACTCGCAGAAATTTTGGAATTTGGTAATTGGTAATTTTATTTCTCAAATTTATTGTAATTTATACATGCAGGAATGGAAGTAGAAATTGCATCGTATCTCCAGGACTTTGGGTTGAATTGCAACAGCAGGTAACTGTTTTAATGAAATTCTGTTATGCCCAATTAATTGCATCAAATTACGTTTAAACAAGGTATTTATTCTCTGAACTATTATTAACGTCAAAAAACAACGTAAATGGGCAAATCATCAGGGCCAGTTTTACTAAGCCCTTGTCAGAAGCAGTTTTTTATGATCTAAACAATAACTTTGGCCGAATGATCCTAGCAGTCTTGGCCAACAGAAGTAAAAGAGGAAGAAGAAACAGTAACATAACCTATAGAGGCTGTATTATTTTTGTTTCCAATTATATGACTTCAAGATTAAAAACCTAACAAAGTAATACTTGTCTTGACTTACCGCATAACATGTCTTCCATACAAGAACGCTTGCAACTCAAAAGGGAACCACTGGATAAATGGTCGATTAGGGAGCAGCTTTGCTTAGCATCAGCGGTAGCTCGAAGCGGAGACCAGAATTGGATGTCCGTCAGCCGGGCGTTAAAACCGTTTGGTGATCCAAATAGACCCGCCGATTGGTTTCATCAGAAAAATTGTGCGGCCCAGTACGGGGCTCTGTTAAGCACAGTTGATACTCCCAAACGTAAGAAAAGAACATCGGGTCCCGAAAACGTAGCCGAAACACCGGCTGAAAATATATTGAGGCGTCTGATAGCCGAACGGCAAGCGGAATTAAAAATGTTATTAGTTGAAGAGAAGGCGGAGTATCGAAAATTGCAAGAGGATATGGTTTTGTTGCAATCAGGTCTGTGTAAGGGTGATGGTTTATAAATCTCATAGCTTGCTTTAATAAAATCAAAGTTGCCAATTTTTCTAAAAGTTGATTTCAACACTAGTGTTACTAAATTTATAAAATCCATAATTTCATTAAAAAATAATCATTCATAATAAAAATTCAAAGTTAATTTTGCCAAATCTGTTTTTATGTACATTCCAAGAAATTTACATGCGATGGAAATCATAATTATGTTTTTTTATATATATTATTATTTTTATATTTTATATTTTTTTTCTTCTTTTCATGTTTAACATTAACATTGTAAACTTGATATACTGATTTAAGTTTTGAATGCTCCTTTAATTTAATCTAATAATAGTAATAATTTAAATATTTTTTAATTTTATATATATTTATTTTCTAATTGTTATAAATTAATATTTATTTTTTTATGTGTCAATGAAACAAGTTTTTAAATGTAACTTTTATATTTTTGGTGTTTGTGTTTTAAATGACATCAAACAAATAATTATCTTACAAAAATTATAAATAATCCTATTTTTTAGTTTTTGCTTTAGTGATGGAGACAGCAAAAATATAAGTTTTCCTAAACACAGCCTGTGCAAAACGGTCGGTGCTAATGATTTGTAAATTCGTTTTTTGCAACGGTTTCTTATTTTAACCATAGGTAGAGAGTACGGTTTGAAAGCTGTCACAAATTCAAATCTTTTTTATTCAACGCTGTTTGTTATATCTCTGCGAGAAAAGTGGGAGGGGGATGTTCATATCTCGAAAAAGACTTAACGCATTTTAGTAAACCCCAAGTTTACTTAGAAAGGGATTTTACAAGGCTATCATTTTTGATATGTGATGCGATTGCGATTGCTTACATTGCCACTAGGTGGATAATTATAATTTATTATATCAGTCAAAAGATATGTTTCATTCATTTTTTAAATGGTTTTCCACATTTTACTACTTAAATATTATAGTGTCATTCAGTCAGTCAGTGATTAAAATTAAGTTTTAATGAAAAAATAAGTGGTAAACGTAGTACTGTCATATACGGGGTAATTTGGTGCCCTTAGAAAGTATTATAAAAAATGTTGTTATTTAACATTTTATTTTGATTTTTAATACTGTTTAGCATCCTTAATAATAAATTAGCATTTTATTTAGGGGAATATTTTCAAAATTTGCAAGTTTTTTGTTGAGTATTAAGTTCTTTTATTAATATTGTAGGGTAGGATAAAGAAAAAATTATTCGAAAACCCAGCATTACTTGCTTGCAGAGGTAAAGCAAGCAGCATTAAAAAATAATTTAAATTTGCTCAGCATTAAAATAGTACTAATCTTGGTTAATGTTAGAAATTTTTGTTAAAACCGTCTCAAAAACTGGAAAATAATTTCGCTTGGTCGATTCACCTAATAATATTGTTTTCAAATATCTAGGACTATTCATTTCCCTAACATCTCCTGTACCTCATTGCCTAAGTACGGGCAATGCGGTACGGAATGCTCGTACTGAGACACGCGGTATTTAGAGAGACACGTTTCCTAGGAAAAGTTTCCGAAGAGCAGCTCGACAAATGGTGCAAAGAAATCGACGACGAAGAACGACGCGGTGAGCAAGAGGCTCAGGCCCACGCTCACTGGTTGAAAGAAAGGGAGGCACGGAAACAGGAAATCGAAAGGACTTGGCGACCGACGAAAGCCCAGTACCAAGTCGCGGGTCAGAAACGAAAAATCTCTGACGTCACGGAAAACCCTTCTGATGGAGACATCCGCGACGGTGCTAATCAGCAGCAATCGCCCACTGTGCAGCACCAACAAATTCAGCAACAATTCATAATCCAACAGGCACAGGAGCCTAACAAGCCGGCGCTGTCACCTCTGCTTACGAGTTTGTTGAAATCGCCGTCACAAGTTCAGAACGCGTCGTCGTCCATTTTGCACACAGCCATAACCAAGCCCAATCAAAATCCAACGATTGCAAGTTTACTAAACTCTTCGACGGGCGTGACTGTGTCGCCCGGCCTTCAGCATTTAGTTAGTTCGGCTATCGGTCAAGAACCGGTTACCTCCGAAGATACAGTAACGCCCGACTTGTTAGACGATGCTCACTTGCCAAATCTCAAAATTGACGATTTGGCAAATAGCATACTTGTGCAGGACGGGCCGTTGCCCGAGATTAAAAAGGAAGAAGTGGATGATATAATTTCAGAAATAATTGAGAATGCTCAAGATATAGTAGCGGATCCTGAGCAGCATCTGCAACTAGACGGTAAGATTCGATTAATTAAAAAACAAAAAAAGAATTTTGAAGCCCTAGGTCAAAGAAGTCTGCTAGAAAATTATATAAACTGCATCCACTATAAAAATGGCAAAACAGTTTAGTAAAGACATGCTTCTTAGTGCTTGACTTTCAGATAATTCAAAATGAAAATAATATGTTGTAGTCCTTGACGTTCTGAATAAATGTCTTCCTAGGTCTAATTCGATCTCATGGCCAGTTTTCGAGATTGAGATGGCGGAGCCCAAAGTTGGACAAAAGTGGAATTTTAATAATTTTCCTATAATTTTAACAATATGTACAAAAACATTACTTTTTTGTCCAAAATGTTACATGAGAATTTTCCTTCTATGGTCTTTTACATGTGAACATAATTTTTTATAAAAGGTGAACCAAGAAACTAGAACATATTCTATAACCAGATACAAAATTTCAATTTTTTTTTGTGGAACGTTAACGCTTTTAAATAAATTAAAGTACGTGGGCCGTGTAAAAACAGGGCGTGGCTTCGCGGTGACGTCATTTCTTTCGTCAGATTTGACATGGCGGTGCATATGGCCGATTTACGATCATTTTCATTTTTATTTAATAATCTTCCTTTCTTTCAAGGTTTATTTTTGCCCAGAACTACTCCTTTCTTGGTTTCTAATACAAATAAAACTCATGAGACAAATAAGACGTATCTTGACATGACAAAAAAAGGATATGCTTATAATTTGAACAGTTTAATTAATTTTAGTGACCTCTCGACCCTCAAGGTAGAGTTCTCCAAACAATATACCGTTTTTACAACCTTTTATGATTTTGACTTCGGAATGAGTCGCCTATTGTAAAGCGGAAAGGGCCATTCTTTTCAGCCGATCTTAGCCAGATCTTAGCCGACAAGAACTGTGCCGTGCAGGCTGTTGTATTTTAAGAGTAGGGAAATTTTCGTTGTTAAATTGTTGTATTAATTCATATTAGAGTGCTTTTTATAAATCTTCCTAAAACAGACCCCAATTGAGGTAGCTTAATTTCAAGTTAAATTTGAAAGCTTAAACTGATTTACAATTTAATAGCTTAACATAATGACTCTAAAATATTTTCGTAGGAAAGTAACATAAAATGTTATGTAGATAATTGAGTTATAATGGATGTTTACCCTGTCAATTTTATGAAACAGTATTTTCTTACCCGTCGAAGCTTTGAAGTTATTTCTATTCCGTCTTGTGTTTGTAATTAGTAATTACCAACTTACTCTTATTCAATTTTTTTTCAAGACTCAGTGTGCCATTTTTATTGAGGTACCATATACATTTTATTACAATTTATTTCATACCAACTATTCAATTTTGTTAGTCACTTGCGATGCCTAGCTACGAAGAAGTTGAGATTGTGGTCCATGGCATAATTATAATTTTAAATGTGTTTCTGTTTCTGAAATCGACATCTGGGGAAAGTGGAGCCAAAAAGTTAATGACCGAGATGACTAAAACTCCGTATGCCACAGTAGAAAAACGCGGAAAGATCGTGGGTTACCGCAAAGTCTATTTGACTGACACGCAGCATGTCGGAATAGTGAGACGATTGATATATAATGCGTATCAGAAGAGTATTGTTTTAACAATTAAAACTTTACATGAAGAGTTGCGTGGTATTTTGAATATCGATTGTTGCCAAGAGTGCGTTGGTACGAAGAATTGGTTTTTATTACAAAACCATCAATAAGAGTTTTGTTCTCAAGAAGAATTTCGGAGTGCAGGACAGGATATTTGAGAGAAATCCACGAAATTCGTGCTAAAAATTTTCCCATAACATATTTAGATGAGACCTGGTTTGATAGCCTCGATAACGTCAAGAAAGGATGGACTTGATGGTAACAACAGGAAATGTTCGTTGGATGCGCCAGTCTCACGGGGAAAACGAATTATTATGGTACATGCGGGCTCTGAAGCTGGTTTTGTAGATAAAGCTTTATTGCATTCTACAAAAGATGTCAAAGAAGCAAAGGTTGACTACCAAGAAAACATGACAGTATACATCTTTGAAAAATGGTTTTCTGAAAAATTGCTTACTAATGTTCCACAAAACAGTGTTGTCGTGATGGACAACGCCAGCTACCATTCTACGCAAGCGGAAAAAATACCGAATTTATCATCGACAAAACAAGTCATTCAAAATTTTTTGCTTGAAAATGTATTTTGAGAATTCCTACACAAAGAGGCAGTTATTGGAAGTTCTTAGGACGGGAACGTTTCATAAGAAGTATGATGTGGACAAGTTGGCCATGGAGCGGGGATTCTAAGTTGTCCGTGTTCCACCATATCACTGCAATTTTAATCCAATAGGACTGATATGGGGACAACTGAAACCCAGTTTAAGAAGAAACAACACCTCGCCGAAATTTAGTTCTGGCAATAGAATTAATTAGAAAAAATAGCTACTTCTAGTTGGAAAAATGTGTAGAACATGTCATCGAAGAAGAAAATGTTTACAGAAGTCGACTAGTGCCAGAATTAATTATTAATGTGGGGAATGAATTCAGTGGCGATATTAATTATTTTGATGTAGAATAACTTTTTTTATATAAATAATCTAACATTATTTTATATAAATAATCGAGGAATCTCACCAATGAAACTCTACACCAATCCGTCAGTCAGCTTTCAACATTTGTATGCGTATCGAAGTACGGTTCTGGAATGTTATTGTGGAATTGCGAATCTATTCAGGGTTACAAAGAGAAACCCAAGCGAGGTAGGCCTGCGGTTAGACCTTCATAAAAAATTACCAAAGTGAAATACCGGATTATGTCGTAAAAACGGTACATCGTTTGGAGAACTCTAAGACTATGTTTTTCAACTTTATGTTGGATTTTTAGGAAAATTTCTATTCTATTATTTGTTGTTTGTTGTTTAAGTAGGTAGATGGAACATGTCGATTTTTATTTTTATTGATTAAGTGGGGGTTTAGAAAAAAAAGAAGTAAACCCTTCACTTTTTTATCGTAACGGTTCGGTACAGGTAACGGCGACATCAACTTGGAACTAGAGGACCTGGAAGACGAAGAAGAAGTACCGGAAATTGCAGAATCGATTCCGAAAGAAGAAACCGAGCTGCTTGAAAGCACCGAATTACAAGCGGCCGCGCCGATTCTACCGCCGGCCACCGCCCCCGTAGACCCGTTCGAGTTTCAAGAAGACCCCGTTATCTTCGATAGCGGCGTCAAGCCGTCGGCGAAGCAGGACAGCGCAAGTTACACACCGTTGTACCAACAGCAGTCGTTCAAGAAGATCGAAGAAAAGAAGGAAGCGGAGAAGTCAGTCGAAGATGCTCCCGCTGAGGAGAAAATCGAGGAACAAATCGAGGAGAGCGCAGAAAACAACCTGCCTGGCTCCGTGGAGATCGTGGAGGTGATCACTGAGGAAATCGGTAGCGAGAAGGAGTTAAACAAAGCTCAAATCGAGGACATAGTGCACTCTTCCAAGGAGACCAACGTGGAGCAAATGCCGGAGGAGTTAACGAACGATGAAGCTCCGCCCGAAGTCAAGGAGGAAACGAAGGCGGAGGAGGAAGAGGAGGGTGCTGTCGTAGAGAACGTTGCCGAATTTCAGGAAGAGACCGAGGAGAAAGTCGCTTTGATCATGGACGATAAAATTTCATTAGAAGTGAATGTGGTTGAGAACGAACCGCCCAAGCCCGAGCCCGAAATCACCACCAAGGAGGAGCCCGAAGAAGAAGAAGAAGAAGTAAGCGCGCCGCCAATCCAGGAGTTCAACGAGGATCTGTACGACTCGATGAATATGGAAGTTAAGATAGACAAAACGGGAAAGACGAAGAGAGATTATTCAAGGACGAAAAAGAAGGAGGAGAAAGGTTTCGACATGTTACTGGCCATAGAAAAAGCCCAGTTAGAAGAAGGGGACGTCGCAGACGAGGAAAAGAAGCACCTCAAGGCGCGGCTAAGGCCGGAAAATGATCGATCGAGCAGCCCGTGGACAGAAGAGGAAGACGTGCAGGTGAAAGGGAGCAAAAGGCGCGTCTCCACTCCAGGGACGCCGGTCGACTCGTTTCCCAACTCGCCGGCGTCCAGCGGCGCTTTTTACGAAGACGATCGCGAGCATCGCAATTGGAAGAAATCGGTAATGCTCGTCTACAACCGTTTGGCGTCCAACAAGTACGCGTCGTTGTTCTTGAAGCCGATTACGGAAGATCAGGCGCCTGGCTATAGCAGCGTCGTATATCGACCGATGGACCTGCAGACGATTAAGAAAAATATTGACAGCGGAGTGATACGGACCTCGTTGGAATTCAAGAGGGACGTGATGCTAATGTTCACAAACGCCATCATGTACAATAAGACCAATGATACTATTTACAATATGGCTACGCAAATGCAGCAGGAGTCCATACATCCAATTGAAATTTTGCTGCAGGCGCAGGGCGAAGTGAACGTGCCTTTAAGGCGGGAGACGCGTACCAGCGAATCGGGAACGAAGAGGAAGAGGCCCACCGAAGAGAACATGAAGAATAAGAAGAGAAAAGAGGATTAGCATTACGGTTTTAGGTATCTCCCGGAGGGGGTGTTGAATTTTAAGGATTTCTTCTGAGGGGCGAGGAGAGTGACAAAGGCGTGTGGGGCCTGTATGAATGTTACCCCCCTCTAACTTTTTTATTTTGTATTTCACAAAAAAGTTTAATATGTACATTAATGTAATATACTTATTTATATACAAGGTGTGCCAAGCATAATATGTCAAAGTGTTTTTTTTTTTACTTGGAAGCCCGATATTATATCATAAAAAGGAAGATCCTTTTATCCTGATTTTTTTTGCCATAAGGCGGGAATTTGCCAGAAATAAAGTCGTTGATACCCTCTTTTTAACTTATCTAAAGCTTTAATCAAATATCTAGTCAGGATATAACTAATTAATATTCTTTATTTTACTTCTAATTATTCCTTTAATGTCACCTATGTTGTTATGTTGCCCAAAATAAGTTATAAGCCCTCGCAAAAAGTATCTGAAAGAGAAAGATCTGGGCTATTGGCTGGCCATAATATTGTACCGCATTGCCCAATCTATTATTTAAATAATCTGCCATCGGAGCAACATTTTGAGAAGGGCGCCATCCTGTTGGTATATAATTTCCGCTAGTTCATTGATCCGATGTTTGATAAAATGTTTTTTATAACATCCCCGCAAATAGATTTCTCTCCAGTCATCGTCGACTTATAAAAAATAGTTATTATTAAGCCACACCAAACGTTTAAGTGTGTAAGTAGTGTAAGTTTTGGGCAACCCTGGTGCGTTGCAGGTAGATTTGTTAATAAATAAAATTTTATTAAAAATAGTGGATAGTTGTTTAACAAACCTACCTAAGGATATATAATTATTAATCAGGATTTAGAACGCACTGACTAAATTTTCTCTTGATAGTTTGCTTTCTTTGAAATGTCGTATAAGTGCGCTTGAATGTCATTTTGGAATTCCTTGTGTATTTCCATATAATTGCGTGTCACCCTATTTACATTTTTTTATATACAGTGATAATATTTCGGAATGTTTCGTCAAGTGAAAACATCATTCTTTTAACGATTTTTAAACAATTATAATATTCAAAACATACCACAATTGTCGTAATTAAAAAAGGACGTGGGGTAAATGTAGGTTTCTCTTTATGAAATAATATAGAGGATTTCCAATTTAAAATAAATATAACGTTCCTATGCTATGTTTTTTTTCTATATAAATAAGTATATAGCATTAAATCTATATATTAAAATCTACAACGTCGCATTAAACTTTTTTTCGAAAATGGAAAATAAAGCGAGAGGGGGGAGGAAGTAACATGTATAATGGATCACCCTGTACATTGCCGCTTTGTGAAAATAAATTATTAGTTATGTTTTTGGTGTTATATTTTTTACCCACTGACGTTTTTGGTTGGTTAATACAGGTTTGACCTTCTAGTTTTTATATGAATTGGTGATAAACCCGAGTTCATAGAAATCAACTAGGGAAAGTGAAGTTTGTTTTACTCTTTGGGTAATTTACACGAGTTGGATTGAACATTTTCATTTGGACACTGCTTTCAAGCCTGAAATTAAAGTGAAGTGAAATTTGACACAAAAAAAATCCCAAAAATGATACAAAAACACTTAATGAAATTCACTCGATTAAGTGGGTATGACAAATGAAGAGATGAAGATAATGGCAGGAATAAATGATAAAATAAGATGAACCCTATAAAATACTGAAAACGAGCCAAATAGATCATTTGACTACTTTCTACCTTCTCCCTTTTATTTCCTTATCAATCAGACTCTTTGAAAGAGACAATGTTCGCTGTAGGTTTTTATTATTTGCGGTTTAGGTTCCGACTAGTGTCTTCCATGAAATTTCTGCTTGTTCAAAGCAGGACTAATGGCCGAATCACAAACTTTAATAGTATATTATGCAACAAGTAAACCGCGAATCACAAACTTTAATAGTATATTATGCAACAAGTAAACCGCGTTTGGGTTACGAGGATAAGATACCCAAAGACCATCTTGTTACCGATCTGTGAAAGATACCGCTCGTAGTCATATTTTACTAAGTCCTACATACAATTTAAAACCAAAAAAACGACAACCATTAAATCAATATGCGATGACCTGGTGGGTTACTCGAAGTGTTTAATAAACGAGTGACTTAAAAAAGTTTACCAAACGCGGTACATACTATACTTTTTCTACGACCCTTAGTTTTTGGTTACCTTTTTGCAAAACAACACGAATACATTCACCGATATGACCGTCAGAATTGGCAAATGTCAAAATTCAACCCGTGTGGTAAAATCTCCGAAAACATCCGATTGCTTCTAAACCCGTGCGATAATACTCCGGAAATGTCCGAAGGGGCTCGGACCCGTGGGACAAGAAACTCACGTGGTAAAGTGAGCTTTCCGCACGCTAGATCGATGTATAATTAGGTATTTTACAGAAGGCAGAAGAAAAATAATTTTTATCTACTCTATTTCCATCTTCAAAAAAAATATTTCCTTGATTTTATAAGTGAATAAAATTTTATTTTAGGTTTTTTTTTTAATAATAATATAATTGACTCCAATGTATGTAATCACAAAATAGGAACTCTAAGGAAATAATAAATAGAGATTAAGCACAAATGCAATGTTCTTGCAAAAGTTCAGATAAAGAGTCAATAATTTGTTTTTACAAAACTTCTGGATTCCTCCTGCGTCGGTTTTTGCTGAGTCGAACTTGCTGACAGTTTCAGTCAAGCTTTGAAGAAGCCAACAGGATGATTGGCAAAGCGTCAGCAAGTTCGACTCAGCAAAAACCGACGCAGCAGGAATCCAGAAGTTTCGTAAAAAGTATTAAGTAGCCTGTGGAAGTTTATTTGAAAAGTCATTAATGAAAATGTAACAGAAACCTACATCAGTCGTTTGTTCCATATGTCAAAATAAAACAAACTTTCTGTAAAAATGCAGCTTTACTTGTAAATCAAACTCTATGATAACAACTTCATTAAAAATAAATAAATATTATTCTAACAGTTCACGAAAAACTAGCAACGCGCAATTGATAGGAGGCACTTTCCTACATTTAATGGTTTAGGTATTTTGAAACCATAACTATATAAAACTCTGTGTAAATTATAATACATAGTAACTATGCCTTGTCTTGACGTTCGTCGCATGAAGACAACTCCTTTCCACCATATGAATCTCAGGGTACGCAAAAAATACGGGCTGGCTCAAATTAATAACATTTCGTTAAAAAAAAAATTGTACAGGGTTTTCATTTATATTTTGATACCCACCTACAGGTTTTACTAAAGTTAATACCCAAAAATTGTTAATATGAAAATTGCATTTTTTTTTCTGTATTGTTCAATTGAACGATTATACTTTTTTTATGAAACACACTGAAGATGCAAGTCCTTTTTAATCCGATTTCACAAATATATAGTTTATCGGTATTTGGTTTGGCCGTTTTTGAAATAACGACTTACCAACCCGATTAATTATGATTTCTAGAAACACTATTTGTTTATAATATGGGTTACTCGGAAGATCAAAAACATAAAATTTAGTTCGACGTGAATATCACCAACATCCCCTAAAACGTAGAATGAATTTCATAAACGTCCGAACCAAATGCCGATAAACTATATAAAATATACAGGGTGTTTTGAAGTTCTTTTTTATCTTTACGAGGATCATTTGTGTTTATTGATATGTTCAGATATATTATATAAAAAGCTTTAAGGTAGCCCTGTTAGTAAACTATATGAAAATATTAATGAAAGCCCTGTACAAGCTGGGCCACACTTTTAAAGGGAAAGTTCTCTTGCTAAAGGAGATACGAAAACTAATGAAAGTGCCTGAAGCTCGATTTCCATAAAAAATATAATAGTGGGTGTTTTTTTAAAACTTTCTTGTTATGAAAAATTTTGTGTTTCTATGAAGACATTTCCAGGGTAACGATTTACGGGGAATTTAATGACTCACTTTATTAGTTTTCAACTAAAAAATCAAAAAGAATTTAAAATTTCTTTTCCAAAAATATAGTTTATATGACATTTTGCACGAGTCTTCTTTGAAAAAATAGTTTTCAGCTTTAAACAAGCAGACTTTGGAACAAAAGACAAATGCATGGCCAGATTGTGATTCAGACTTTAAATACACTAGGTTTCAGTTTAATCTTTCAAATAAATTTAGATTATGTGTACTCGGTTACATTTGTCTGTACCATGCAGTTCCCTAGTACAGTGTTCACTAAGTCTTTCCTGCTGACGTCGTATAAAATTATTATGAACAAACCATTATTTCTTGTAACTCATAGAGAGTACATGTAGTTTGTTCACTTTTGTGACTGTTTGTTGTCAAACGTTTAAGAAAATTGTCAAACGTTTAAGAGATTGTTTCTGCACTCTTCTCGGCTTTCATAAAACAATCTATGATATCTCATTTATTTTAAAGATTAAATCAAAACTTCACAGTTTGTCAACTACCAGTACGTTTTGTTTCCGGTTTTATGGCCGTTTACTTGTTCAAAATATTAAAAAGTACTATATTTTTCGGAATATAATTTCAAGTACTGTTCAACGATTGAAAAATATACAGGATCCCAAAATTTTGTGTAAAAAGTTGCTTTGGAAATGTTTTCAGAGAAACATAACATTTTTCATAACAAAAAACTTACAGTGTTTTGTAAAACGGTACTATACCCATAATGTAGGTGTTTCATGAAAATGAAGCTCCAGATATCAACATTAGATTTCCTATTCAAGAAAGAATCGAATTGAAGCGCCCTTCAGGCGTGTTGTTTTCCGTCACTAGTTCGTCAAACGCGGATTCACATCAAGCGAAAAATACTACATCAACTCAACATAATTCTGCGCATCGCGGCAATAACGGCAACGAGCAGAATGAGCACTTTTGGTAAACACATACGAACGGAAAGAGAGCTTAAACGGAGGAACGTAAACAAGAAACTAACGCAAAAATACAATCGGGTTAATCGTGTGTCGTCCAAATTTTACAAATGTCCTCGTAGAATGTCCCCGACAATGGACTTTCTAGATTGGGACAAATCCACGAGACTCCAAACACATTGGAACCACTCACAGCCGGTCATTCAATGCGATTCGACAAAGCTAACTCTTTGAAAAGATAATTCGCAGCTTTTTTCTGTGACAAAGATACCATCTTGTTACCGACCCGTGAAAGATACCGCTCATAGTAAGCAAGTCCTACTCGCGGCTGTCCCTTTTTTTGTTAACAACTTATAACAAAAAAATGACAAATATTAAATCAATATATGATGACCTGGTGGCATTCATAAAATCATGTTTGTGACAAAATAAAGCATGATGCAGCATGTAGAGCTCCACAGTCGTTCATCTACTAGGGTCATGGCTAGTAGCCATTCATTTTCATGCTTTTTACTAATGACATAGTTGCTAATATTGATATCTCTTTGCTGATGATATGATTAAGTAGAATAAATAAAATAATTTTTAGTGTAACTGTCATATAATTTGGTTTTTGGTGCGCTTCCAATACCCTACCACTGAAAACAGATAAATGCTTTTATAACTAGTCCTATCACTTTTAATTACCACCTGGGGGCTAAGGGGCTTAAGAAGAAATGACTCTTTTGTGACTTGGGTGTAACGTTTGAGACAAAGCTGTTCACATCCAACAAAATGTTAATGCTCCTTGATCAAAGGTTCTCCTTATCAGTTGATGAAATTATTTGATTTGATATTGACGCTCGAGAGAATATAGTTGAATAGATGTTAATCTACTAGGTAATAAAAATTACTATTATTATTGTTATTAATATCAATTCTGTAAAGGGACCACTCGTAGCGAATCAATTTATTTACAACAAAATGTAACTACGGACTATCTATCTTTTTCGTGACGACACAACCGGTATCTTAGTCACAAAACTAATTTATTTTCTTCTCTATTGCACCCAGCTACCGTCGAATACATAAATCCAAGAAATTTCCATTGTACAGGCACGTTGTGCGATCGCGTTTCGACAGGTCCGGCATTGGTAATTTGTGATTCAAAATATAACAACATTGCGCTTATATTCCTTGTGTGTGCACTTAACTTTACTAATTTTATCTTCGCGTCAAGCGACGAATTTAAATTTCAGTCTATGGCGTGCTAATTTTTAATAGGTACTGTTCCGGAAATATTTTGTTTCAGATTGGATATTGTGTGCTTAAAACATTTGCCGCAAAAATTGTAAAGAACTTGATCGTGCCGAAAAAATTGATTTCAACAAACTAAATTATCGATTATATTTGAGACGTTTTTTGAAAGCGAAACAAAGGATAAAAGAATAGATCATCACGCACTACCAAGACTTTTTTTACCCACTCGATCGAATTTTTTAAAACACAAAGTCAAAAAGGAAAAAAAATGCAGACAATCCATTCTCGCAAAAAATGCGCTCACGACTTTCCTAAATAAAACCTTGACTTTAATATATAATATACCGAAAAGCACCTACCTAGTCATTAACTTGGCAATACTTTTGCGTTTCACCTAATATGTAATAATAACGATAACGAAACAAAGAAAGAAAGGCAAGCTGTTTCGCTCTACAAAAAAATTGACCTTACATGCTCTGCTTGGTTCGCTGCGGCCGAGCCTGCCAGTGCGACTCTTATTTCTGCGCATTGTATTTGAAAAAATAACTCGCGTCTCCGCCACTTCCAACATAACAACTAATGCAATCTGTTATCATCTTATTGCAAACTCGCAGTGTACAGCGTTTGACATAGGATATAGGCTAAATGGTAAGGGATAACAAAAAACTGAGACATGTGTCCCGTACTCTTTTTTTTAATGTTTTGTTTAAGGGCGTAAAAAGTTATGTAAAGGTTTTTTTATCTCCATAAATAACCGGCAAGTTTTAGAAGTACCCCGAATATTAAAACACAATCTAGTTAGCTCAAATCTGATTCAGTTAGTAAACAAAGCACTTACCCAGTTGAAATCCCCGCAAAATCCAAAATATTTAAGAAGTTCAACATTTATGCTCACAATAATGACAGAAGTAAGACATTTTTCTAACAGTTCATTCGATCTTACACAAAAATAACAGGAAATTCAACCTTGCTTTTTCGGTTATACTCCAAATTATCCTATTTTAGTCGGAATCGTTGAGTCACACTTTATTTTTCCACTTATTTCGTAACGCAAATATGATGCTTTTATAATTTAGGCTTGAAAATTAATAATCCAAAATTTTCTTCGTAAGAAGTATTGGATAAGACGTACGTGCAAATTAACTTCAATCAATATGGATAGAAAGAGTATCCCTTGCTATTAGCCTTACTAGCTCACCACAGTTTTAATTTTTGACTCCAAGTCCAAAGACTTTCGCAAAAGTAACGTTCGTAATACCTTTTGGCTATGGTATAAGAAATTGAAAAATACTAATTTTATTTAAAACACAAATTTAATTAGAGCCACCTTTTTTTTATAGATCTTTAGGAAACGTGAAGCTTTTTAGGAAAAATTGATATCTAATAATTATTTTAAAAAATTAAATAAATTAATAAAAAAGTTTCTCATATGGTTCCAGATATCCATTAAATAAGCCATGGTGGACAGTTTAGTAGGTCCCATTATACAAGAACTTATAGATATATAAATATATCCACAATAACTCAAACTAGAATTAATAGAATAACAATAGGTTAAAGTAAACAACACAATGCATTCGAATGACGAACTCACTGCCATCAAGTATCTAACCGATATCAAACATCTGGTAAAATTCTGTCATTTTTATGTTAACAAATATTCATTCGTAAAAGTTTGCATTTCAATTTTTCAGTATTAAACTTCTTTAATCATCGAAAGGTGATCAGTTTGTATGTTTGTATTTAATGGTTTTCCATTTATATTCTTTTGACTTGCTATGATGTACCTTGTACAAAAATATTCAAAAAAAATTTTTATTCTGTTCTATTCTAACACCCCAGCGGCGCATATCACTTTTATTACTCTAAAAACGTTCGCAGTTTGGGGACACATTTCAATCTGTGTGGTCGTGGGGCATAATTTCAAACGAGTTACGTACTGGGCGGGCTCAGACCCTCGCGGACATAGAGCTGCAAAAGTTAAAATTCCCTTCTATTTGATACATTATATGTACAAAGTTTAAACTATGAGTAATAAATTACTAGTTCAATTTAAATAAAAATTAAACTAAAAATAACATGTTTACGTATCAGTCATCTAGTATCAATGATTTTCCGAAACCTATACGTATAATACACAACAAGGATATCAGGATGAAAACCGAGCGGAACATTTATGAGCTGATCGAAAATCCAGGATCGTATTCATATAAAATTTATACACAAAAAGATCAACGCTCAACATAAAGATATAAACATTTTCTTTTTTAGATCACAGCTAAAAGTGAAGATTTGTTTTATCAAGTTTTTCTTTTAGTATATTACAAAAATCTGTACCGAATTGCTCACTAAAACTTATACGTTACCTTAGACCTAAGCAATATCAACGTTCTCGCTTAATAACGGGGTGGAGGTGGCATGAAGAACCAAAAATTTCAGGAAGCAACCCAGTCAGTTATAAGTGTTCACGAAATGGTCCTGCAAACTCATAGATTAGTACGCGGTATGTTCACTTAAATGTATACTTTTTAGGCCTAACTTGCACTTTATTTTTACGTACGCTACTTTTTTTTAAATTATTTCTAATATACTAGTCTGCAGGAGAAGCTAACAGCACGTCAGTTGAACTAAGTGAAACGGTCCTTGGATCACAATAACGCACGACAAATTATAATAAGCATTTACACGGATTGTATCTACTACAGTTTGATTAATATCAAAAATGGCAATTACTTGCAAAAGTTGAAGGGATTGTTCGGTCAGAAATCTTTATTAAAGTAAACAAATTAACATGCTGAAATAGAGAAAAATGTTATTTTTGCTTTGTTTTAATGAAACACTTTTTGGAGTAAAAATCGTAAAATTATGGTTTTTGAAAAAACGCGTTTAGGTTTAAAAGTTTTAGAAATATTTGTAGTTGAAGTTGCATATAACTAATTTAGATAACGCTTTTCATTACGGGTGTTAATTTTGGCACTTATTGGACTTTTTTTATTATCTGGTATTCAGGAATTCAGGTCAATTCCTATAACTTTAGTATATTTTGTATAACTTATAATAAACCCCGTCAAGTTGCAATCAGACACACTCATATGGCAAACATTCTGGAAATCCTCGAAGGAAAAACTGCAATCCTAGAGATGCTCTCTGCTCTGCGTAGCCTTTCGTTTGAGGATCTTCAGAGAATTTTTCTTTGTCGTTATCCAGAGACAATTTATATAAATAACAAGTAATATTTGTTGCCAAATAAAAAATGAGGCAATTAGCCTATTTTACAGACAATGCCCCTATATAAATAAAATGCCCCTATATAAATAAAAGGTTTCTGCTTCGTATTTTCCGAGTTAGCAGTCCTTGTATGTACCGGGTCTTATTTAATAAGTGCGAATTTTCATTTTTTAAAATGCTTCGATCTCGAGATACAAGGTGTCAATTTTTTTTATTTATTTTAGTCTTTTCTCTCGTACGAAAGTATTTTTTAAATTATAGCTTTTATTTGTAGGGCGCGCTTTTTCTCATTTTTCCACTTTTGATAGATAGCAGCAAGAGTTTTGTATTTCTCGCATAGGAACAAAAACAAATCGCATTGTAAAATAAAAAAATTGTAAAACTGTTTTACTTTTTAAAATAGACATGCATCGATTAATTCAAACCAAAATATTTCGATAACGATTGCTCCTAGCGACTTCCAATAAGAAGAGGTGCTTCTTGGAGTGAATGTGATCGCAGAATTCATTTTTTTACCAAAAACATAATACAGGGTGATACAAAAAGTCATTAACCGTTGAAAATGAGGAAATAAATAAAAACAGGGTCCCCTCCAGCTAAGTATTTTAGACCACACGTTTGCAGTGACTTTTTACATTTAAAAATACTCCAGAAATCATCCTATGAAATATTAGACACTTATTAAATAGCATCGCGTATATGGTGACTGAAACCCAGAAACAAAATATTGGAAATTGGGAATACTAGTACAATCCGTGTATGCTTCTTATGTCAAAATTTGAAGCAACAATATTCTGCCAGTTACTTCGAATCGAAGCAAAGTCTACCCGCCGACTTTGCTTGAATTCGCGATTTCCAAAAATATGCTGATTTGTTGGCACAATTTGTTTTCGCGTGACGTCACCTAGCCACTAAGAAACACTGTCTAACACTAAACGCTTTTAATTTATCTCGTAATGATATTCATCTTCATATCACATCTAGGTGAAAGTATAATAAATTGACTGGGAGTCGTACGATAATAACACCGATTTTCCATTAAACGTTTGTGAATCGATCAACAAATTAATGTTTAAATTAAGGTACTACCAAATGGCGGAACTATACAAGGATTTGCATTCGGCTTGGTATACGCGAACACGCTAAATTACATATGCAAATATACAACGGCCCAAAGATTTTGAACTAAGATCAACTCCTCTTTATTAGTGCCTTTAAGGAGCGAAATAAATAACGAGGCCTTACAGTATCCCTGTGTCCTCATCGGAACTTTAGGAACAAAGTTGCAAGAGAGGCGCTAAATACTCAATAATGGTAAGATATGGATGCGTGGGGCAGTATTTGACACGCTATGAGTGAACCGATTAGATACGCTGCTATTTGGATTTTTAATTTAATTTAATTTAATATTTAATGTGACACCAACATACACTGTTCTCCAAACTCGATGGCATGTAGAGTGGAAAGAGATAGGCATTTAAAAATTGGGTTACGGCCATAGGAGACTATGATCTCTATTTTAAGATTATAATATTTAACTTAAAATATTTGGGACATAATATCGTTTCCAAATCTAGTCGAACATGTATCAAGAATATAACTATCCATCTTTCAATCTTTTTAGATAAAAACTTGACATTTGGTGTACTGCTTGGCGATGAGCTGCTTACAAATTGATCCACATTTTGCAAACTATATAAATGTAAATTAGGTTTGAATTTTGAATGAAACTCTCTGTATTTAATTGCAGAAATAAAAAGAACTATTTAGTCTTAATCTAAAAGTACTATGAACCATTATAGAGCAAAAAACTAGAAGAATGACTAGCAAAAATTACTTTTGTAGCAGTAAGACATGGAGTATATTTTGTCAATTTTATGTTATTTTGATGTGGCGAATTCACACAACGATTTGTTCATATAACAAACAAAATGAAGGTTTTTGTTACCCAAAAGTATGAGTTTTTTCTGTTGAGCATTTCTTTTTTTGAAAATTTACGTCAGTCGATCCAAATAATCCTTTTTAAAAAGTTTTGATCTTCTTAACATTTTATTAAAATGTGAGGGTGTTATTTTGGTTAGTAGGTTTGGAGACCTTATCTAACTTACAAAAATAATAATAATTTTTATTATTATTATTGTAAGTTAGGTAAGATCTGCCATTTTATTTGCCTTTAAAATTCGATCTATTGATATGTAATTAAGTACAATATTGTTAAAAGCACTATTTATTGACGCAGAAGGATATGTACAAAATTTATAGTAGATTACAGTTGTTAAAGCCAATCGTTATTTTTCTGACTTCATTAATCGGAAGCAAATTTGTTTTGTGCTTTTAACTCTGAAATATAACTGAAATATAAATTCTATCTCCAAAAGTGTAATGTACACACCATTCCTTAAAAAAAAGGTGGTCTCTGATTCAAGCAGATGTGGCAACGCTGCAGAGCCTGGCTATGGTCGCACCCAATTTATATTCGGCATGTATTTCTAGTTGGCTATCGAGTCTTGGGAAACCTGTACACCTGGTTAGAGTAGCACTACAATTGTTAATGCTTGTTACGTGTAGCTTTCTAGCTTTTTGTATCATAACTCGATCTCGATGCAAATTGAAGCGCGGACGGAAAAAATAAACGACTTATTAAAGTATTGGGTTTCGCAACCTTCGCAAACAAAATGGCTTCTATCAATTTATATTCGGCATGTATTTCTAGTTGGCTATCGAGTCTTGGGAAACCTGTACACCTGGTTAGAGTAGCACTACAATTGTTAATGCTTGTTACGTGTAGCTTTCTAGCTTTTTGTATCATAACTCGATCTCGATGCAAATTGAAGCGCGGACGGAAAAAATAAACGACTTATTAAAGTATTGGGTTTCGCAACCTTCGCAAACAAAATGGCTTCTATTATGAGTATTAAGTACGCAGTATTTTATAAACGTCAGCGTGTAAAATATTCGGTCGGTAACATCCTAAAAGCTTGACAGTTTGACGCGATTCCCTAAGCTCCTTTTTCCGTTTTCTAAAAATAGCCTACAAAGCGACTAGTCCCGTTTAGTTTTTTTCTCTAGGCGGTAGGGTGGGCGCGAGGTGATCCAAGAACCGCGAACGAAACCAATCCGCTGGATTTTGTTTACATATTTCTTTGAGCACCTAATTAAAGCTAAATTAGTCTAACAATCTAGATATTGCACAATGTTGTAGCAAGTGTCCGTCGGCACGTATTGCTTATTATTTTATATAAAAAAAAATAGACACGGCAAAGCGCGCACGCACTAGTGCTCCCCCCGTCCATACATCAAGGGTCGGGGTCGGTATTACGTTTGACAGATCAACGGTGTTCCATGCGCGTGGGGTTATATGACTGCATTACGATCGGGTCGCGGGTTGGTCGGTGAACTTTGTGCCTTTGTAGGCATGTAAATGATGTAGTAAAATTTATACTCCTTTTTTTTGACTAGTGGTGAAAAAGCTATTTTTCGAATGACACGCTTTCAGAAGCGATACATTTTTTTTTGTGTCTTTTAATTTCGTATTCTTGCACGACAAAAGCTTTGTGGGATTTCCGGTTGTAGTATGTTAGTGGGAGACTGTTGACGTGTTTGGTGCAACACCTCAACTAAAGACATTGGCGTTAAAAACGAAGTATTTGCCCATTTTACACATAAAAAAGGAATTTAATATTTTGTGATATTTTATGGTTCTAATAAAGTACACAAACATAGCATATTTTAAGTTATTTCTAACAATCAGTAGCTTCTTTGAGAAGAAAAATTAGGTTTCAATAAAAATTTAGTAAAATGAAAAATTGTATAAATTTGTCACTTAAAACTGGCAAATTGACAGATTTTTGTCCAAGTCTTCTTCTACTGAACGACATGGGACTGGTCTTCAACGAAGAACTAACAGTCATGATGATCTTAAAAGTCTGTGAGATGGAGATCGCCCCGTGTGTGAGGCGGGGAGCTCTCGAAGCCTGGGCGAGAGACCGGGCCGCGGTGGGCTGGACAGTTGCTCCGAGAATAAGGCAGGCGAGGCTTATAATTAATGGGCCCGCCCTCCCTCGGACCAGGGAGCTGCTTAGACTGACCAGAAGGGAGTGTAAGCACTAACAGGGGCCTACACAGGATATTGCAGGTTTAGGAGGCATCTTTGCTTGCTAGGCATTGGAGACGACCCGGAGTGTAGGTGGTGCATGGAAGGGGGGAGATGGGGAGTCTTCGATCGATCCGGACTCAGTGCACGGTATTGAGCTAAAGGAGTTGCTGACCTTCTATAGGAGGGGCCGCATTCTCGACGCCCTCTAGAGCGGCCTGGGGGCACAACGGGTCCATCTGGTGGTTGGACGCCCGCCCCCATTTAATACCATTACCAACCAATACCAAGTCTGTGAGAGAATAATGCTACAGTTGTAGGAATCAGAAATCGACTTCATCGTACTTGGAGAATCCAATTTAGTCATAGATCCGCAGCTTCACAGACGTTATCGAGTTGTGGGACTTTAATTTTCATCATGTACACTGGAGTAAAGAATAATGAAGTCGAGATTTGGATGCCCGGGAGCGGGTATGGCCGAAACCACAAAAAAGTTTTGCAGAATGCAACTTCAGTCCTAAGGTAGACTGCCACTTATGGTGTGAACTTGAATTTCTCTGGAGGCACACACAGACTTGCACATTGTTTCAAGAGGATCTGTAACTGCTGTCAAGCACATTGAAGAAATTGGGAAAGAATTTGTTATTTCTTATGTTGGTTTTATCGGAAACAATTTTATTTCGATTCATGATAATGTCACACCACGCGGTTGCCAGCATTAAGTTAAGATGCGAATCATACTGTTCTAACAAAAGAGTTTTCCCTTTCAAATATACGTTTGGTTGTTGGTACAAATTTGGTTTGTGTGTGTAAGTTATTAGAACAATAAAATATCACAAAACATAAAAAAATGTCTTTATATATAAAATGGGCAAGTGCTCCGTTTTTGTGTGGGTGAGTGTATGAATCAAACGTGTCTTCGTTTTTTTCAATAACCCGGAACACAACCGCGCACCCTATCTGTCGCGCAGCCCCTACTGACCTCTATCGGTGCGCAGTGCCAGTGCTACCGTGGCCGCGACGGTCAGCACAGGCACTCGGCACAATTGACCCGCCAAACCCGCGCACTAGTGCGTGGAGTGGCGTCATTGAAACATGTTCGATTGTTTGTGAATCGTGTCGGACTTGTGGAAAAGCGGTCTGCTGCCGCTCTCACTCATCTGGATCTCCTGCGAGACGAAGTTGTTTTCCGACTTGGGCCGCGGCAACGCCGTCGCTTTCTGCAACGTTCTGCCTAGCTCGTGCAAGCTACCGTCACTGCCGGTGTGGTGATGGTGGTGGTGGTGGTGATGGTGCATCGATTCGACCGACATGTTGACATTATCCGCTTCGGCCGCTAATGCGTTTACGACCGCGTTGATAGTTTTACTTTCGCTGCCCAGATCTTCCTCGCGGTGGGCCAGCAAGTTGGGATTTTTGCCTATTTTATTTAGCCTAAACGGATAATCGAGTTATCTAAAGATTAACGTAATTGGTGCAGTTAAATAATGAAATTCGGACGTGCGGCGTGAGAACTCTGGTTGTGGCGATCAATAATACGTATAACCATAGAGAAAACTAATAAAAACAAAGTGACGAATTAAACGGAAATAATCGGCCCACCACTGAGAACGTTCCAAACCGAGTTACGACTGATAGATCAATGGGTATATCTTCCATTTTGGAAAATTACTTATTTATATAATATTATCTTTGCTTCCTAAAACAAAATGCTCATTTAGTTTTCCACTCTTCGTTTTTCTTGTGCCTGTATAGTTTGAGTGGCATTTTGGAAAAAAAAAACAAAAGTAAATTAAAAATGATGTTATTAGTGAAATAAAATGCCCAAAGTGTAATTTTTTGTTTTAGGATTTATTTTGTCATTCTTTTTCAATATCCTAAATAGCTTCATTAGCTTTAAGCTTCATTATTGTCGTACATAGACACATATGGTTATTTTAGTACTATCCATTTGAAAGGAAAAGCTGGAATCGTTTGTTGCTAACTATTATTTATTTTTCAGTTATGGTATGCTACTTTGCCATAAGAATACACTGAAGGGAAAACAGTAATAGAAGTTTGACTGCTTTGTAATTTATGAAAGGTATATGGAACATATATATAGGCATGTAATTCCTATTTGGTGATGGTATTTGTGCAAATTTATTTTGGTGGTGTTATATTAGGAATAGGTTAAATTGTTAATTTTGTGTGTCAACGTCCGTAGGAACTTACAATTCTGCTGCTTTGGAATGTAAAATTTTTGGAATGTAAGCTTTTTTCGGTTTCTCGAGAAAGAGCTTAAAAGGCAACGTTGGTTTAAAATAATGCTTTTAGTTGAATCTGTGAATTAAAGGCATTTATGTAATTTTGAAAACAAATATTTTCCCAGCAATCTTAAAAATAAACTAATATACATATCAAAAAAAGGAAACAATATTTAACCTGTAACCTGTAGAAAATATTTTTATATCGGTATAGGTTTTATTTCTGCTAGTAATTATCTAAGCTGTGTTATCATTTACTTAGTTTTACGAATTTGGAAATAAAACTGATTAATTAGGAAGCATTGCATTTTGCTGTCCCTATACTTAAAAAAAAAGTTCGCTCTGTAGCTCGCGGTGGCGCTGGCAAATATAGTTGCGATATTTAACAGGGAATTTACAGCTCTCTTTTCTATTACTTTATACTGCGTATAACCAATAGCACTGTAGTAGGACACGAAGATCACTTTCAGTTCCGCCTTTAATTTGTCTTTCTCTCTTATTCTCTTACCAAACGATGGCAGATCGCATTTAAAGATTCTATTATGAATCGGCTTTAACTGTCAATTATACCGGCATGCTGTATGCCAATTTGGCACAATATTTCCATAAAGTTTAAGAAATTAATAAAAATTTTAAATGTTAAAATTTCAAAATGCAAACATTTTAGCAAGTTCCCAAAATATCAAGATAGTTTACTAGAAACATTCAATGTTCTGTAAAATGTTTTAATTTCTGTGATTTATATTTTGATTTTGTGATCAGAAAATTTTAATGAAAATATACTTTTACGCTGTGTCCCATAATCTATTTGCCATTCGCAAATGATAATAATATAAAATTAACTGACAAAAGAGATGAATGTCATCGAAATTTGCCAATTTATTCTCCGCTGCTGAGATCAAACAAATGTGGCCGTTTGGAAATATTCCATAATGTTTACATGTTCCATTGGAACTCTTGCTCAGCTCATTCTACCTGCTTATCAGACAATAAAGCATTATTCGTGGCTCTGTTATCAGTAGTGTATGGTTTTGTGAAAAATGACACCAGAACGATGAAACCAGCATTATTAAACTTGAAGGATATTTTTATAGTATGCCTAGCAAAATTAAAAGCACTCCAAAAATCCTTCGTGTCGCGTCAGCAATATTTCAATAAAGGAAATGGGTTGAGAAATTCCCACAAAATGTTACAAACATCGAGTAGAAAACTCAAGTACTTTTTTAAAAACTCTTTAAAAACTTTTAAAATTTTAAAAATTTTAAAAACTCAGTACACGCCTAAGACCTAAATTTCATTAAAATGTTTTTTGTGACATCGTTTCTAAATATTTAAGCTACAATTAAAAAAAAAAAACATCCAAATCGAGTCTGCAGTTTCCAAATAAATTAACTTTGAAGTTGATCCACATTTTAGTGGTGCGTTAATTTTAATTTTAATGTTCTTGAAAGTGAACCATCACAATACAATTTGAAAGTTTATGAATCAAAATTATTTTGCACCACCAGGATACACGCCTCTTTCATTATTTAACTTTGAGATTACGGCGACGAAGTCTGTGTCGAGCAAACTAATCGTTCAAAAGAAGAAGCATCGAAGGAGAAAACTATAGGAGCGCCTAATGGCAACCTGTGAAATAGTGTGCTTTGTGTTTCATTAAATTACGATCCAAAAACATCGCCCTTTATCATGTGTACGTGTGTGGTTGTGTACCCTCTTATCGGTCATACTTCCAAATATAGACCGATTTTCTCGCACGGTATATTACAAAGTATGGCCGTGGTAAGCAAATAAAAAATCTACATAGTTCAGAAAAATGGTAAGGGAGGTCTGATACGCAAACCAACTACTGAAAAAGTACGTTCAAAAAGCGGGCGATTTTTTGTGGATCGAAGTTGCAGATAAAATTTTAACACGTATATTTTCTTTATTTAATTTAGTATAGGTTTACTTAAAACAACCAGGAAGATTTCAGTCTTTAATAAAAACTAGGAAAATATTTATTTGTTTTCCATCTGTTCCAAATGAAAATTGTGGAATAAAATATGCATGAAAATTATGTTTTAACTTGACACATGAATAGAGTATCTTGAAAGAATCCGCGAGAAACAAAAATATTACGTTATACTATATTCTTTCAATTCTGATTTGGAGTGTGTTTAAATCTTTACACTTCTATTATTGTTTTGGAGAAAAAAAAAAGAAAATCGGAATTTGCTAATTTTAAAATTGGGACACACTGGAGAAAAAACAGGTGAATCTCTGTGTATATAATTGGTCACCTCGTATATAATTAGTAATGAACTAATGAACGAAAAAGCAGATGAAAATAAAACTTCTTTATACCGTTTTGTTACGTGGTCTTTCGTTTTACCCACAAAGTAATCCACAAAATAGACGCATCGCTTCGGAGAGTCTATTGATCTCGAATGAACCAAACCCAACGGACTACAATACTTCCGTCGAATCCGAATCACCGGGCAGATTTACGGGATATCCCAATTACAACGACGAAAACATTCAGCTATTGACGTAATAATAGCAGACTTAGTAAAAATATACATGAATTGATTTTCAAGATGCTAATAAAAATTTATGTTTCGAAAAATAAAGTATGGGACACCCCGCGAAACAGGCAGAAGTTATAGGGGTACAGTTATCAAAAAACAAGAAGCAAAACACTCCACGTCGGCATTTTTTCAATCTAGACCGTCTTGCGAATAAAACAGTAAAATTGCAAATAGCTGGATAGGATTTAGGATATAACCTGATATAGTCATGGCAATGCTTTAAATGCAAACCCTAAGTACCATATGTTGGAACCATATAGCTACTAGACATACTAGACATATAGAGGCCATGGCTATGCTGACGGTACAGGAACTCATGAAGCAACTATGTAATTTTTTTTTGAGAAGGTCCGTTCAACGTGCGCATGCGCGAGATTTAAGATTTTCTTTTTAACCAATGACAGGTCTAATGACAAATTCTGACGTAGACTCATAAGAGCTAGGGGGTTTCAACAAGCAACATGGCCGCTGACATATTGTCAATGTTTGGACGCGGTATTTTTACGGTAATATTTTGTAAACATATGTCGAAATCCTATTAAGTGTCAGTAATTAATTTAGCGTTTTTGTTCTTCAAGCCATGTAGATACGATGCAATTTCTACATGTATTTTTTTATGTAAGCTATTTTTTTTTTGTAAATAGGCGTAAAGCGTTAGTTTTCATAAAGACATCACTCCATTTAAATAACTTTGAGATGCTAGATATAGCACATGAAACATCTAAGTGAAAAAATGTTCAAAAAGCATCTGCTATATACAGCAATTGACAAGTGATATTTCTTATGCTTGTTCAAGTAAACTTGTAGCTTAATGGCCTTCTAATATTTCCTCGTACACTAAAACATATTATCCAAACATCGTTCCTAGCTATTTAAGTGTACCTAAAAATGTAGTGAATTCTGCTAAATCAATTCGCATCACATCTGTTGTAATTTCTTGAAAGAACACAGTATTGAAAACACAAATTATACAAGTTTGTGAGTACGGTACGGAGATATTGACACTAAAAATGAAAACAACAATGGCACAGAGCACAGATTGTTCTGCGACAATAGTAACTCAGTCAGTTGGGGGTGACGCATGCGCACCTTCTCTAGGAAAATATCATAGCCACTTCCGGTGCATCAATTTTTATCGTAATAGGGCTACTATATTATATATTATATATAGCCATATGGTTGGAACATTTCTTTTAATAGGAAACATGAAATTAACAATTTGTTTATAATGTATGGAATTATTTTTACGATTTAATTATATATTTTATGTTAATTACTATTTAATTTTCAGTTTCATAATAATATAATTAAAAACATACTGACAAGTCAATACTGGAACATTTTTTTGTATTCCTCAAGTTTCTGGAGTTTTATCAATCTGACGTGAAGAAGGCTTTGAAATGAAATATTGAGTATTAATAATCAACAACCGTCAGTTTTCTTACGAGTAAAATACAATAATGGCACGTCGAAAAACCCACTGATCCAAAAATGCGAGAAATTAATATTCATCAATGTGTGAAATTTTCATTGAATTGATTATAGCAACAACTACTAGGTTTAATATAATTAAGAAATATGGCGAGAGTGCCAGTACTGATGTTCGAGTCCAAAAGCTGTTTCTCAAAGGAGTAGGTCATAGGACGAACGAAATCATTACATTTGGGCGAAATGAAAACTCTCGGGGTCAAACATAATTGGGACAAAGTTATCAATAGAGACGAAAGCAGATTTGATGTCTTAAAAGGACAGCGAAGTTTCCACAGGTCATCACGGTATGGGGTTACATGTCTGCCAAAAGTTTGGAAATGTACACTTTACTGAAGGCACGTAGTGGATGGTGCAACCTTGAAATTGAATCAAAATTCAAAAAAATATAAAAAAATCTGTGATATGTTTGCTGGCCATTTTGAAAATGTCTTTGATTTTGATTATCAAACAATTAATTAAATAGTACATAAAACATACAATGAAACTGTAAAAATAATTCCGCACATAATAGAAAATGTTGCTAATTCCATATATATGTACAATTAAAGAACATTAAATCGAAGAATTTCGGTAAAGTGTAACCTTGTGTAGTGTAGAAAGACAGTTTTAATCGAAGAATTGCCTAGAAAGGAAAAATTAAAGAGTATACATATAATGGGCGTTCCATCGGAAACTTCGTCAATCTCTTATAGGAAAAAATCTGGGCAAAGTGTAACTGGCAAAAAATTGGGATTATTCACAGACAGAACAAAAAAGAATAAGCAACAAATAAAATAAAAATTATAATAAAATTGTAAAAAAGGGAAATTTATTTTCGACATTTTGCGACAATAAAACAGAGAAGTGGGACAATATGTTGCCCCTTAAATCATTAAAATCGATTGAAAGTTTTATCCAGAGCACGCGATTCAACATTGCACTGTTTTCGTCATCAATCACCAATCTGTTTGGATGTTTGGATAAATACTGGATATTCACTTTTTATTCGTTTAATGTTATTTTGTTTCAATTTCTTTTGTAATAATCTGTAATTGTTTCGTTTGACATTAAATTTCTTATTTCATTTAATAAGCGAGATAAAGATGTAAATAAAAAAGGAAAAACAAGGGCTTTGAGATTTTTCCATCAATATTCTGTAAATGCCTACAACTTAAATTTAAACCTAATATTTGAAATTGAATAAAAAAAAGTTTATAAAAAAATCTGTGATATGTTTGTTGGCCATTTTGAAAGTGTTTATGAAAAACCCAGCACAAGTACCAGAGTTGTTAGCACAGAACCACAACAAATTGTTCAAATTGAGAAAATTCAAGATCAAATTCAATCACTTGATCCCAAAAAAGGTTCAGGATCGCATCGGATAATGGTATATTGTTTAATAAATCTAAAAATTATGTTTTGCTAACACTAAGAAATAGTTAATTTTCTTTTTTTTTGTTTTTACATCTATTCTGCATAGAATTCAGAATTGTTTTTGTTAAGTTGTGTAAAAGAGCACAGTTTGCCTGCTTGGGTAGCCTTTTACGGTTTTCCCGTAACAGAGCGACGAAGTTTCCGACGTACCCTGCGTAGTATCTCACGAAAAGAGGTGTTTTGATAACCATGGGGGTGGGGGACGTTATGGGGGAGCGATGGTGATGGTGGCGGCGAGGCACACAACAAAGAAGCGATTACATCACCATACACAATCATAATTTAATAAAACCCCGTGGGTTTGTTCAAATACGAACCAACGCACTGACCTCTCCGCGGCGACCGATTCCATCGTGCGTCGCATGAGAGGATACTGATCGAGGACGGCGTTGAAATGGTCGACGGACAGCGAGAACAGGTTGCAGTAAGTTTCGGCGCGTACAGAAGCGACGCGTCGCGCGTTCGTCAACAGGCAAATCTCGCCGAAATATGAGCCGTCGCTCAGACTCGTCGCTACTTCGCCGTTCGCCATCACGATGTCGACGATGCCCTCCTGGATGAAGTACATCTTGGACCCAATCGTGCCCTCTTTTATTATAATATCACCTGGAACGAGAAAACGTCTCAACGTATTCAAAATTGCTACCGCGCGTCAGACTTTAAATTTTAAAAGGCATGGAAAACGGGGAAACGAAAAAACGGTGTAAAAAGGAAACGTTTCAACGCATTCAAAATCAATAACGAAGAATTAACCGCTCAGGATGATCTTACAAAGTCAGAAAAAAAATCGAGTTCATCGTACTTGGGGAAGCCAATCTGACTAGTGGAGGCACCCGGTCCAGAGTTTCTCAGGTGCCATCGGTTTGAGCGACTCATGGTTGAAAATAAATGGATTCGCACTTTATTTATTTAGTTAGTTTTGGTTGTTGAGTTCTCCAGAGTTTCCTATTTCAGTTAAGTTCCGAAGAAGCTAACAGGATGATTGGCGCAACTTTAGCAAGTTTGACTCAACAACAACCGAAGCAGGAAGAACCCAGAAGTTTTATAAAAAGTATTACAGTAGTCTGTGGATGTTCCTTTGAAAAAAAAAAGATTCGCATTTTTTTTACTGATAAGCAGAGCGTTAGCTTGCGATCTGCAAATAGTTGGAAAAGGGTTGGTAACTTTAACAGTAATATTTTTCCCGTTACTTCTTTTTTTATCAGGTTTTTATATATACCTTGTTCGTAACTTATAAAACTATAAATTCCACAATGACCTTAGGCTTTCATAGCAATATTGTTACAGGACACAGATAAGTTTTATAAGACTTTCCAATATTATTTGAGAGCCAATATAAAACCATAATTTTTTCAAAAGCGAAACGGGTCAAAATGGTGGTCACTTTGGCTAGCATCAAATGACGACATGAAAGATGCGTAGCGTTTGGTTAGATAATATCAAAATTTGTTTTCGTAGCAACCTTGATAATTATAAATAAATTATTTCTCTCAAAGGAGATGTTTTATTAATTTTTTACATGGTTTTCCACTTTTCGCTACTTAAATATTATAGTGTCAGTCAGTCAGTGATTAAAACGGGTCAAACGAGTAAGAATGTCAAAACGTTTAATGGGTAATTTGGTGCTCTTCGAGGGTATTGTAAAAAACGAATAAAGTTTAATAAAATTATATTTTGATTTAATTAAATACCTTTTGGCTTCCTAAATAATAAATTATCGTTTTATTTCGTAAATTCGGAATAACTAGATATTACTAACATCCCAAAATTCAAGTTTTTTTTCGCTTAAGTTCTTATGTTAATATTTTTGGTTGGGATAAAGATACTGAGATGCTTTCACTGGATTGATGGGCCGTTATTTCACCATCTATGGCCTAAAAAAGGTCATGTTGTTCCATTTATTTTTGTCAGAGAGTTATTTTTCTCGCGATTCTGTTGGAAAACTCCACCTTATGGCAAGGTAATCACAATCGCTTTTAAAACGTGTTGCGCATTTTTGAGTTATCGATATTTATTTCCGAACTTGTTCGAACATTCCCCACTTTGTAGAGATAGAGCAAACGGAATTAAACAAAAAAGATTTTAATTTAAATCAAGCAATTAGGTATCGCTTTTGGCAGCCATTTCTCAAGCTCGAAAATATTTTATTCTATATTATTCTATAGATATATATTATTATATTATTCTTCGCCGATTTTTTTTTTAATTTTTGGAACCGCCTCTTAGCCTAATAGCTTCAGAGGCACATGCAATATTTTTAGGGCACTAATTTAACATAACAGAATCTAGTTTATTCAAAAGCGGCAAGCATAAACGCGCTTTTTACAGTGAGATTTCATTACCTATTCACCAGAACCTCTTAATTTTCACTACGTTTTAGCGAGAAGTATAAATTGAGATTGGTATATTTATCTGAAACGAAAACCGATGAAATTCCCAAAACAAATATTTCATCACCTTTGGCGATTTGGAGGCAATTTATACGATTTCGAAGGAAAAAAGAACCACCGGCCCTAGAGTCGTTACTTTATATTTTTAACGTTTCGTAAGCGCGGATTCCTCCCGGGAGTTCCCTTGACGTCACGATATCCGTTTCTCCATCTTGTAAATTATTTCCGACTATTTTCCCGTTCGTGCGCGCACCTGCTTGATATTGGGCTATTTTCACCACCATACTGCATAAAACTGGGTTGGGAGCGATGCCTGTCTAAGTCTGTTGGTATTATTTATTTATTAGATTAGATTGGATTTTTAGATTTAACATTGAAAGATCAGCGGATTTTTGGAGTCTACGTTCAAAATCCTGGATACATATTTCTTAACAAAACAAAACAAAAGTGCGGTAAACGAAATTTAAGTCACAAGTTTATTTGGCTCGAGCGGAGCGAGTGCTTAATAAACGAGAGACTGTGAATATGTCGAAGGATTAGTGAAATCAGTAAAAATTATTCTAATTCATTGGATGTTAGATTTTAGACTTATTTGACGATTAAAAAGTTTCTCATATGGTTTCAACTTACATGTTGCATACAGCGGGTTTCGCTGAAAAAACCACGAGGGCAACTGTACGACTATATAGCAAAAGTAAAGTTTTTTGTACGGCACGTATCTTAATAATAATATTATTATATATATTAATATTAAGTTAATCCCCTAAGAAGGAATTTGAATTTTCCTTTATTGATTAATAAATATATATTTTATTTTTGTCTCACATTCAAGAAAAAAAATTAAAACGCTCTCAATAAATTTTTTGCGCGGCATTCTTGTTCCTCTCCATTTTACCTTAACAGTTTATTAAACATTACAGATTTGAACTAGCTGTTATAATAGGCTAGAATTTAGTCTAACTTTTTTTTCGAAACAATGCATCATGCGATAACTAAATTTTAGTTAAATTATCGCCCCAAATTTCCGAAGCTTTATTCTTTAAATTGTTTTTCTTTTTTTTTCTTTTTTGTGCAATATTATGCTGCGTACAATTAGTGTTGAGACTAGTCAAATTCGATGAAAATGTTTTAAATAACATCTTGCAGTTGAAGAGTGTTATCTATAATTACTTAATAAGAATATGTTTATCTAATAAATTATTATGCGTTTGCTATGTCCAATTTACCTCTTCAAGGAATACCCGCATACAATACTTCGATTTGGAAATCCCAATAAAAATATCCACTCCATTTAGTTCTCAGACTCCACGGCAACGTATCGCACAATAATAAATATAAATTTCATTATATTTTAAAAATTATTTCGATCAATTGATCAATCAATTGACACAAAACAAATTTCAAATCTAAATATTCTTAATAATTGTCTTTCATTTTATTACCAAAACCTAAGTAGAGGCAATTAGGTATGATTGAAAAAAAACCTGTTCGTTTTATTTAAAGTAAGACTGATATTATTCCAATAAATTCCAATAAAAATATTATATTATATAACAAAACTTGTTATAAAAAGAAATAGGACTTTCTAGTCGAAGGATGGCGCTAACAAAAAAAAAGTATTTTCTTTGCAATTTAGAATTATATCCTCTTTATTTAAAATCTATAACATGTTTAATTTCTTATATTAAACATTTAAAATAATATTTTGTGTAGATTCTGATATGATGGTAATTATAATTTGAATGATTTTCTTTTCAATCCAAATGCAGACAATACTTTTGCTTTAATAAGAATAAGTAATAAATTATAATGCATATATCTGTTTCAAGAAGACATTATAGAATCATATGGCGCCTTATGGATTTATTAAAAAGCACCAATGAATCAAAATCATATTTAATTTTGATCAAATCGTTAGGAGGGTTGCTTGTGTCAATTAGACCATTCGCGGAAATAACTATTGCTATAATTTTGACAGAGTTAATCCGTACATATCTTTGTCATGTCAGTGAATGTATTCGTGTTGTTTTGGGAGAAAATGTACCCAAAAACTAACGGTCGTAGAAAAAGTATAGTATGCAACGCTTTCGGTAAACTTTTTAAGTCACTCGTTCATTGAACACTTACTGAGTCAAATGCCGTTTACCGCACTTGTTGCATAATATACTATTTTAATTCTGTAATCCCCCTTTAAATATTCTAATGAAATTTGGCACACATGTACTATGTACGAAGAGGCATTATTTAGTTTACAACAATTTTAACCTATTTTTGCAGACATTGATGGTACGCCACTTACAATCTCCCATCATTTCTAAAGAAATTTAATTTCTTGATTTTTTCAAATTCGATGTACGGTTTTCGCTTTAAAAAATGAAACCCTCTTCTCTGCATAGTCATAACAACATCGTTAATATGAGAGCAATCAGAGAAATTATTTTTTGTTTTAATGCAAATGTCATTTTTTTCTAGGAAATTAGTGGCGTGCTACTGACTGTCTATTAGGTCGCCGCTACCCTGGTTAAATCGAGAACTTTTATTGTGAAAGATAAAATATCTATCTAAAACAAAATATCTAGTTTTTAGTTAGCAACCATTGTCCTTCAAAGAAAAATTTGTAGTCTGTTATTTTCACTTTCACATGAAATAACACAACATTCTAACAAGATAAATAATAAACGATTTTTATTAAAAAAAAAACACTACCTACTATTAATAATTTTTAATAAAATAACAAAAACAACAACCTTTTTGAAAAACAATAGAACACAAAAACTAAATAAGTTTTTAAAGGTGTCCTCCGCTTTTATCTCTTTTACTTATATTGCCGAGCTCCAATCGAGGTTTGAAGTATACCTCCAGTGTTTCTTATTAAATTGAAGAAAGCTTATATACGATTCTTCAGCTCTTCTACAGTCCTAACTGGGATGCGATAAACTAGATTTCTTAAGATTAAGAATATTCCAAACTATTTAAATCTGGTGACTTAGGGGGCCATGATTGAGATCTATCGTGACATACCCATCGGTTATTAAATGTGTGATTTAAATATTCTCTTACTGCAACACAAAAGTGAGCAGTCGCGCCATCATGCATGAACCATATTCCGTTCCTAGCAAAATATGGTACTTCTTCTAGCAATATTGGCACAATCGGCGATAATTATTGCCATTTAACCTTTCTGACAGGAAAAAGGGCCCAATTAAGTAATTTCCAACAATTACAGCCCAAACATGTGAGTTTTCATCGGCCCAAATATGGTTATTGTGGGAAAACGAGGTATAATGCTCAATTTTGTCCAAAAATCATTGACAAAAATTAACACTCAAGGGAGAATCTCTGGGAAGTAACGCTAGAATATGAAATTTTACAACTAACCAAAATTAGTCAAAACGTGCGAGATATTCAGATTACCTCCAATTTTTCTAGTACTAAGTTCAGGATTTTCATCAATAGAATTTAAAACTGTTGGTTCAATTTCTGGAGTTCTTACAGTTGGATGGATCCCTTTTAAATGATTATTTGTTTTCAAAGTACCTGTTTCAGTCAACCATCTATATTCATTTGAAAATCACCTAGCTTCCGGCCCACTGTCATCAGCCAAATATAAAATGCACATCTGCCAACTCCTTTTTTACAATAACATCGCTCGGATATTTTATACACCAAATTAATAAGACGCGAAGAACTGAATTTAAAAAAATGTCAGGTAACTGTCAAACAACCTCCTTGACAACAGAATTAATAGTTCATGTACTACATGCTGTCATATTAACAATATTGTTATGACCATGCAGAGAAGAGGTTTTTATTTTTTTAAGCGAAAACTGTACATGGGATTGAAAAAAATCAAGATATTAAATTTCTTTGGAAACGATTGAGATTGTAAGAATAATTTTTATTTTAAGAGAAATCAGTGGCGTATCATCATTGCCTGCCAACATAGACAGGTGAAGTTCCATACGTCCGCCACTGGTGTATTTTAAAAAAATAATTGTACGCTAAATAATGCTTCTTTAAATTAATTAAATTAAATATCATTAAAATATCTAAAGTGGTATTACAGTATCTCAAAAGTTAAGACGTTTAGGACACATGTTCATTTGTCCCCTTGTAGGCATTGAGGGTTATTTGACAGATGTCGATAATGTTATGACCAGTGCGTCATATTAATATCGTTCTCGCATAATGTAAATATTTTTCCAAAAACAGGTGTAGTTCAAAGTGATGCTCACGTTTTTCAATTTGATTAGTAGTTTATAAAAATGCAAGTTGTGGTGGAAAAAATCTTGTGTGTAATTCGAGCCCAAAGTGACATTGCCGCTCTGAGGAATACCCGAGTTATGTTACCATACACTCTGAGAACCTGCTGAGTGTGCGAGACTCGCAACATATAACGATGAGAAAGATACGCAGAGGGGAGTCAGTTGAAAATGTTTATGTTATAAAGTTATTTTTAAAAAATCGGCAGTCACGGTCTAGTTAGTTAATTCACGCGTTCTAAATACCGCCAGAAAACCTATCTACATAGTTTTATTTTTGTTTTTATTTTACGAATATGTCTTGTTACAGAATATTATTATATTATATTATAGTATATGCCTTTCAAAATGGTGCAAACTAAAGAAGTTGGGAAAACAAAACCGTCTTTGACGGTTGTTCCAAGCGCATGGGAGTGCAGGTTTCATAATACCCGGAGTGTATTTATTAGTTTTATAGATTTATCAGAGTTTTACGGAACAAGTTATAAAACCCTAAGTTTTATAAAACTTTTTAAAAAATCTTGAAGTAACCGAAGGTTTTATTGGTTAAAGTAACGGAAACATTTTTAATGTAATAAAAAAAAGGAGTATATTTTAGTTTTGGTATTTATTTACAAAACTTGTAACAATATGGTTGTCCTATAAAACTATAAGAAAGGCGATAAAAGCTGAGGTTTCTGCCGCTAAGAAAAGTCCGTTACCTAGAAATAAAACCTTCAGCTAAAGAAAATGTTAGTCGGCTATGTAAATTGGAAGTAGTTTTGAGGTCCAAAAGGCCAAACCTGATTTATAAAATACTAACCAGGTTGGAAGACTTCATATTTAAGTTTAGTAACGACGTCCGAGACGAAGTTGGAGTCGGCGTTCGCGAAGAAAGGCACCGACGCGACGAGCGACCTGCAGTTGTAATTGATGACGTCCTCTCTGAGCTTCTCCGAGAGCTCGCCGAGGATGATCTCTTCGTCGAAGAACTTTCCCTGATACCGGTGCTCGAAGTATTCGGTGATGCGCTGGCGCATCTCGCGCGGCAGTTTCCTGTACGCCATATACTCTTCGACTTGCTTTACCTACGGAAGAAGAAAACAGAGTAACTGTCAGACTAGGCAAGACGTCATCGTCAATCTCAACCAAAGTTGGTAGACATGTCAAAAAAAAATTACATTGTGTACCATGTACAAAAAAATGTAATTTTATTTAACCGGCTTGCTTAGTTTTGTTTGGTTACCATACGAGTCAGGTAAAATGGTAATTTTCGTAAAAAATCACAAGTTACTACACGATTTTGAGAAACTGAAAGCAATTTCTTACCAATGCCACAAATACAGGGTATGTCACGCATGATTAGTCGATTGAAAAATTTGAAATTGAAAATTTGAGCACTATGACACTTGGATCTCCATGGATCAACATCGCAGTGTTGCCGCTTCTATTGAAAACTAGCGACAACAAAGTAGATATTAATTCATTTCTATATTTTCCGGCTTAAATGTTGCTAGGGTAGTTGACATTTAGAAAGCAAAAATCATGACTGCAGTTTTGGGACAGATTGTATAGTATGACAATAATTTTAAAAAGTCGCCATAATAGGAAAATTAAATCTCTTTGAAAATATTGTATTTTAGTCACAATATTAAGTGGCGTATTTTGTAAATAACCCTGTATACGCACAAATATAAGAGTGATTTCAAATAAATAAAGGAAACTCAAACTTCACGCAGGACAATCTATTATTTAGAGGTCTGCGACAAATTACCTTTTCACGATACTGTCGCCTAGATGAATCTAAACTCTGGATGAGGTTGGTCGCGTGTCCGAGGAACAATGCGTAACACGTTGCGCCAGATATCATCGACAGCATCGTCAACCACATGTCCGTCAAAGATTGGGGTGGAAAACGGCCGTAGCCTATGCACAGCATGTGGGACATCGCTTTGAATAATGCCCACGAGTACTGTTCCAACCAAAAGGCCTCCTGCGAACGGGAAAAAGCGACATCACTCCGCGTAAAACTTAACGAAACTTGAAATTTATTGCGTCCAAAATACCAAAAATCACTATTTCCACATTGCTATTCACTATGCACAGGGTCAATAATTTATATAACGTCTCCATTTGTATCATTCGATTATTTATATTTGCGCATTCAGATTTGTCTTTCAACTGACTGCACAAGCGCTTTTATAAGACGCGAAGCCTGCTACTCAGTGAATATATTCGTGCTGATTGAGCAGCATGAATACATTCCTTCACTCAGCTACGTGATGAATACCGAACCATTAGAATTGACAAACTCCAAAATCAGTGTTTTAACAATCTACCGAAAACATCCGATCCCTCCCAACCCGAAAGTCTTAAAATAACACTTTCCACACGCCTGATCAGTGCATAATTTGGAATTTTAGAGTATCTATTTGTTTAGTAACTAAGTAAATAACAGTTTTCATACGGAGTATTACTTACTTGTAATTCGTTTATCGCCACCCACGAGTTCGCCGGAAAGCCTTGCAGCATGGGAACCAAAAACTGCAGACACCCGGACCAATGGCCGATAAGCAGCATCATGCAGATCAGGTTGAATATCCGCATGAACACGCTCGCCATATTTAAAAACTGAAAAATTTCAAACGAAACAACGTTAAACGAATCGTGTGGCAGGACGGTCGGTCCCCTTCATAAAAAATTCTGCTACTAGGTCTTCAAACTTTCAACTGAATACCTAAACTACTATCGAAAAAAAGTATCTCGATTACTGCATACCGCAAAAAAAAACGCTGTAAATATAAAAAAAATAATGTCATATTTCAATTGTGTGTGAGTGTAAATAAACATAAAAAAGCAATCCCTCTTTAACTAGAGAGCGATTACGAATCGAAGGCTAAGCTTTAAGCGATAAGCAGAAGCTTTGGTCACTAAATTATCTTAAACATAATCAAGTTTTTAATGGCAAAACGTATTAATCAACAGAGTAAACAACACGCCTGCAAGACACAATTCCCTTTCGAAGGAAATTGTATCTTTAGTTGACATATCTAAGACGCCCATATGCTAATGATTTTTTCGCGCAATGAAACGCAGATCTGTCAGTTACAGCGCAAGATAAAAGAACTGAGGAGACCCGCGGTGACAATGAAGGCTGTCACTCGCACAGGCAAATTTATTTACAACGAGCATGCGGTTCTCTGTAGGAAACGTGCCAGTCTACAGTTACCTTAAACTAATAGGTTTACGCAATTTAAGAGGCGAACGTCAGATCATGAAGGAAACGATGTAGCCTAACCATCAATTTTGTCTTTGTTGAGTTATCAACATCATAGAAGTCGTTGCCCACCCACCCCTCCCGCGCCCAACAAACATTTTTTTATAAGGTAGCGGATGTTTGTAAGGGGTTTATAAGAAATCTTAATTTTTATAACAGTTTTTATAGTTTATAACACTTTTAGTCTTCACCTTTTATAACTTACTCCGTAAAACCCGTACAAATCATAAAGTACCTAATAAATATTCTACAGCTACTATGAAACCTGCACTCACATGTGCTTGGAACATCCGTCACAGACAGTTCTGTTTTCCCAACTTTTTTTGTTTGCGCAGTTCTTAAAGGCATGTTTAGTTTAGTTCTAAACTTTATCTAGATATTAAAAATATCAAACACACTCCTTTGAAAAACAAATAAATAAACAACTGAAAAGTGAGGTTATAATTACATAATTGATATTTCACACTTGCGCTATAATAGTTTACAATTTTTCAGTTGCTTTCGACTACGAGGGTTTTTAGAATTACCTTTTTTTGGTGACTTATATAACTATAGGTAGAAACATAGAGACAAGTTTTATAAAAGTGTCCAAGGTGTTTAATATTCCTGGAAAGCCATATTTCCGATTGATCTGCATTTTAATGGCAAAAAAAATCATGAGGCGCAATTTTAACTTTCCTGTTCATACCAAAATTACCTTTTAAAGTGCTCTAATGAAACGCGTTTTAAGTTTAGGAAGAAAAGTTGCTGTCAATATTTAGAGTAAAGAGACGAGAAAAAAAACGTGTCTAATTTATGATATATATGAGATCAGTTACAAATTAAACGGGGAGTCAATGTTTTATATGGAACTTAAATTTGATCACCGTTACCCCCACATAAACTACTACCATCATAAAACAAAAAATGTTAGTTGGGATTCTACGGGACGCTGAGACTAAACCGCTGCTAGGTGTCTGCGATCTACAGCGAAGTTACTTATGTATAAATAAATTAAAACCCATAAAATTTCTAAAAAATTATTTATTATGAAACGTTTAATGCGAGTCATCTATTTTGATTAACCTTCTACGACAAATGAATTTATTTTTTGCTTTCTGCACCGGAGTCTGATTGATCGAGGGAAACGATTTTCGGTGAATCATTTGTTTCCTGGGACCGAACGTTTATTAAAAAAAAACCTTCATTTGAAAAAGGTCAAGCAGCCACAGTTTAAGAATGGCTTAATTTATCCGATGAACCGACCCAGTCCCATAAATTTTACGTAACCCAATTAAATTGGGAAGAGATGTCTAGTTTTGATTAGTTTCACAAAATATGTATATAAAGAGATTATGTACAGGGTGTCTCATGGTCGTCATTTTTGAAGAATGTATTTCTTATTGATTTCGGAGAGTGAGAAAGCTCTCTCTTTAGGTGACGTGTTTTGATGCACTTTTTTCCTATAAAAACTGATTTCCCATCGACTGTAAGAGTTTGAATCCAGATCACGCACTGATTAAGATGAATAATGATAATGTGTGATGAAAATAACTAACTTAATCGGCCATTGAAGCGGAAGACAAATGCCGCTTTTTAATTAAATAATAATCTTCTGATTTGAGCATTTATAAGAATATGTTGTTTTGGAATAACTCGAAAATTTCAATGTCGATGTTTTTCTTCTCCAACGTCCATTGTTGCGCATCGATGATCACAAATTACTTCGTAAGACGGTATACCTAATCGTGCTTGTACTAAGGCTGATCTACGAGTGACGTTTGTATTAGACTCACTAATGTCTACGCCTATACACCAAGACCAACAGAGCTAGCGTTACCAGATTGCCTAGTGTGATACGGTTCCTGACGTCATTTATCAACTAATATTTAGTGCTCTCTTGTTTATAAGTTTTTCGCATAAAACTGAGAGAACCACAAATCTCGTTTGAACATTGAGTACGTTACTAGAAATATTACATCACCATCTTTGTAAAAAGAATTATGTTAATTATAATAAATACTCAATAGAAATAATGGTAGTACTTTTTTTTTAAAACAAAAACAAAATAACAGGGACTCATAACAGCTAAGCAAAATATACAAATATTTCCTTCCAATTATGCGTCTCAGGACAATAAACTTAATCAAGCAAATCTATTAGAATACAATATAAAGAGTTGAGTTAATCCAGAATTTGCTGCTGGGGATGATTTATAAATGTTACCGGCAAAGTCCGTTGTCCATTCAGACCTAGGTAGGTATATATGAATTGATTTTCCTGTAAAAGGTAATCTATTTTGGTAGTGGTCAAAAACATATTAAAAATTAAAATAAAAAAATCAAAAAGATGTCTAAATATTTTCAATAAAACGTTTTTTCCATTGTGAAAATTTTATACATCTTTATGTTTTATAGTTCGCTAGCTACGACGATGACGGCGAAACATGGCAAAAAAAGGCAATCGACCGGTACAGGGATGTCACTATTTTTGACTTCCTGTGAGTTTGTAAATCAATAATCAAGAGTCTTGTGCCACATAACTTATCCATTTTTTTATTGTTCTTGTTAGTCTATTTTCTTTTTCTGTTTATTTTTATTAAAATGCTAAAGTTACTAGCTTTTTGTATTGCGGTTTACTAATGTATGTGTTTAACACTATTTCAGGTTTTTCTATAACTGAATATTATTCAGCAAATATCAAAATGTTTTTCATAAAATTTGTTCCAATCTTCAGAATTAAATATATTTTGTGTTAATAACTTAATTACCTTTGCATGAATTATAGGATTAACAAGAAAAATAGTCAAACACCGGTAAATAGTAAGTGCCCTTACTGTAGCGCTGTGGCCATTCTTTTGATTAATTAATCATTTTTATAATTAATAATAAAAATAAAAAATAAAAATGGAATATTCTTATTTGGAAAAGGTGACTAAATTTTTTAAAAATTTTCATGTTCGTTTTTGAAAATATTAACAAAGACCACTAAAGTAGATCTTCTACAAGGAAATCAATTCGAAATATATAACAAGGGAGTAATTGATAGATATATTTAGACCTGCAAACCTCACTTTTGACAAAAAATTCAAAATATCGCTGGAACTAATGAAACATGTCCAGAATTTTCCGAAGTATTTAAAAATGTAGTAATACACAAGATGTCCATTTAAAATAAGAAAGTTGCTGTTTGTACACGCAAATACAAAGTCCCTGTATACAGTTCATAGAATATTGACAGTATGATAGTAATGTCTTTTATCAGTACAGCAGGTTATTTCGAAATTTGTTTGCTACGTATTTGGCAAATCGAATATTACTGTACCATATCACATGCAACGTACAAAATACCCAATAATGTCGGACTTGCTTAATGTAGTAGGTACGACTGCATGACGTACTGTGCCGGTAACATAAAAAATTGCAATTTATCAAGTTCTATTTGCCAACTTAATACATTTGAAAAATAAGAGATTTTTTTTTGGTCTGCGTCGTGGCACACAAACACCCAACCAGCATCGCTGTTGTAAATGAAAATACACTTATTCGAATGTAGTCCTGGGGCCGTGTTACAACCATAGGTGACGTCATCGGCGTAGCAACCAGGCAGTCGGGGTTCGCGGTTCATCGAAAGACCTTCAACCTAAACACAAAAACTACTAACCCGACACCTATCGTCGTTCTAACTAAAAGAGTTGTGGGGAAATGTAATATTTAAATGCCGCATTTTTCTCGTTTCACAAGGATAACAACAATACTCAAATAGCGAAAGCGTAGGCGGGCGTCGGCGGCATATCCGATCATGCGCAGTCAGTATAATCAGCAACAACGGTGTTAGTATTAAGTAAGCGAGTCCGAAGCAGCGGGTTACCTTAAAGATGAGATTGCTTTTGGTAGTATTAAACTTGCTGAGGTCGGAACTAAGGCGCCCCCGTCTTTCCGTTCGCTTTTTTTGAAGATTCTGCAAGATCTAGAAAAAAGCCAAGAACACAAAGTAGTAGTAGAGGAAAGCGTTGCTCCGGCATTATCGTCCGAGAGAGAGAGAGTGAAAGAAAAAGGAGGAAGAACGACTTGAAAAATGTATAAGAGAAAGAAAACCAAACAAGTTAAATTTAACCGAACTAAATGAGTTACACAGAGAGGGTGCAATGCCAAGCAGAAAACCTATTTTAAGTTACATTATACGAGGAGAGTTGATAAACATGCACAAGCAATATACGAAGGGAAATGTGATAATTACAGAGTGTGGCATGCAATAGAACAGTATTTAGCGGGGTGGTAATTTTTAGTGACGTTCCATCAAATTCGTTTATTCGAAACACATCGGAGTAAAAGTTGTTTTCATCAAAGTGTGGCCACCGCTCGCTCTACGTCTAAATGCGTGTCGTTTCTTCGTTCTGATAATTTTAACTTCAGTTTCTGGACTAGTGGCTGCTGAAATCGCGGACATATAATTTATTATAAAATAATTTGGCAAAAGCGGATTATTACGTTAAACGTATGGACTATTTAAGCCACTATTGTCGATCCGTACCCTGGACATGCGGTAGTCTAATTTCACACCTTGAACAATAGCTCGAATCGAGCCTAACGAATTTGTATTTATAATCAGTTTGATTGATCAATGGTTATACTATACCATTAACTTAATTTTTGCCACTAGTAGCAAAATCGTTAATTTAAAACGAGGGCGCATAACTGGGCTATGAGATGAATGGGAGTTTCCTCCAACGCAGCTGTCGGTATACAAAAATATTATAGAACAATATTGAGAAGGAAAAATTATTTTATTTAAAATACCCAAAAAGTACTATTTCAAAAAGAGGCTTTGCTGCATTGGTGAAAATATTTAATTCGATTTAGACATTAGAGACATTAGAAACGATGATTTGATTGCCATTGAAGTAAGTAAATGAAATTGAAAACGCCGCGGAAAATGCAGTGTTATTTTTTTTAATAATTGTAAAAGCTCAGTCCTTCCGGCACGCACTTCTTTGAATGAAACAACCTTTTGATGTGACGTTTTTAAGTTAATATCTCATCATTCTTGCAATAGTATAAAATACCCTGGATACAGTTCTGTTTTACCTTCCACCGCTGGCGTTTCTTGCTTCAGCCTCAACCAAAATTGATTTCACTACTTGGCATTTGAAAAAGCAACATAAATATCGTACAGGTTTGCGAAATTTTAAATTCGCTGTTTGTGTTTGCGTCTGTATTATATGTGCTGTTCATCTATAATTTAACATGTATTTTAATTCTTGAATGCGCCGCGGTATACAGGGTAGTAGGCAAGGAATCCGCCAAATATTAAATAAAGTTTCTCTACAGCTCGATTACATTCTATTGAATATATAAAAGCGCTATTAAAAAAACAAACAAACCATTTTTGAGATATTTGCATCATAAAACTATTTTGTTGCAAGTGAAGTTAAAAAGAATAGGTTACTTATAGTTGAGGGAGACATTTTATCATTGATATAGATATTGATCTCAATTAATATCTCAAGAACGGCTCGAGCTATAAAAAAGTTCCAGTACTCAGTACTGTAGTGATGTATATCTCATTTCATTAAAAGGCTATAATTTACTAAGGCATATTTGCCTCTTTTGGCGTCATTGTCTACGAGATTAATCAAAGATTTCTTTCCAGTGCATTCATTACGAACAACCCTGCATTTAGTGTTTTAAGTATTAAGACGGAAACATATTTGCGATACTGCTTACAAGTTTACAATTAGTGTAAGGAATTTACCTATATATTAATTTACATTAAGTTTAGTTTACCCAATGAAACGGAAATGGAACTTTTTGCTTTATTATTTTAGTCTCTCTTTCTAGCTGTTAAAGGTTTCAAAAGTGGCCACGTACTACGTATAAGAACTACTTTAGATATTATGACGAGGAAACATAACCTAGAAAGGAAACATGAAAATAAAGTGAAGTTTTTCTAAAAGACGTGTATTGTAGGAAGTGTCTTGCTTTGGTCGGTTTTGTCGAAAATAGCTAATTACGTTGGTTGTCTTTTCGTTTATTACAACCTTTAAAATGAAACTGCCGGGATTTCCATTTGAGTTAACGAATCTAACTAATTGGTTGTGTCAGATAAAATCTGTGTCCAGTGAAAAACTAGTAACTAGGAACGCTATCGGTACTATGTTGCACCAATAAAACTGTAAGTACATTCGCTAAATCTATCACTATCATATGTTTAGAATGTGACAGCCCAATTTATTCAACTCGTTGTTTTACCACGGGTGGTCTCACTTCTCCCTCAATTTTGTCCAAGAGTTTTTGAAATTCAATTTTTAAAGTTTCAGAGGCCGAAAACATATTTTGAGAACTTTTAAAACCGCTCCTGTTTTAGCTGGACTCTATATATTTTTTAGATGAGTAATATTTTGTTCAGAATTTCTAACATTATACCACAAGGCATTCGATGTCAATACGGTCGCGTAGGAGACAATTTTTCTGAAAATTATTTCAAAAGTTTGATTAAGTAATATCTATTAAGTCAATGTTTCTTTATTATTCAGAATGTAATTGTTTTCGGAGTGAATAAATTAAATTCCTTTATTTTTTTTTATCAATTGACAATATTTTTTAATAATACAAAAAAAAAAGAAAAACAATTTTTGTACTCCACATCTATTCAATGAATCTAATCTGAATGGTGGCATTGATCTTTTACGAAGCTTTGTCGAACACTTAAAAAGCAGAAATTTCATAGAATAACTTAGTTTTGAATCAGTAGGTAGCGAAAAAAGACGCTTTAATTTTGTTATACAAGGGGTATTTTTAAAATTGAAATTCAATTCAATTGTATCGAGGTTCAAATATGAAAACATTGTTTCCAGTCAGTTCAAACATTTGGTGATATTGCTCAGTAATGTTACAATTTACAACAGTAGTAGATGCTGTCGACCACTGAGTAGTAGCAACCAACGAATAACTCCAAAGCTTAAATCTTCCATGTTTGTTTATACCATAATAAAATATAAAATAATAAAATTCCACCACCTTATAAATTACTATCAATAAAATTTAGATTAAAAAGAACAGAATATGCAAATGCCAGGCTGGTTCGTAAGAATCGCTGAACCACACTCACTGAGAACCTTTAGATATTTTGTTGGTGTTGGTACACTTTTAAAATTTTAAACGCTGCAAAATAAATGTTTGGTTTCAATTGAATTGAATAAACTGGCTATAAAATATACAAACATGATCTATACGGGTCCGTATTCTAAGCAACGACAACACACTTAAATGGTATCAGGCACACATATAAAGTATAAACAGAGCATGATGACAGTAAGCACCTCAGCAGTCCTATCTTTAGATCGAAGAATTGGAGTAGTGTCATCGGAAGAAGTGTGATCTGTCTGTTGACTAACCGGGTGTTGGCATATGGGCATCTGCGCAAGTTCAAACATTTCGGTGACTTTTCGCTCTTGCTTTTAAGCCACAGGTGCGTGTGCCCATTGAACTTTGGCAATAATAATGTGCATCTGGTTTACAACTATATAACGAGTGTCCCAGTACGGGAAACGAGGTGCGGTATTAGGCAAATGGTTGTTCCTAGAAATTTTATTGAGTTTTATTGAGTAAATGGCCAAAAGAATGCTGAACATTATTTTCGAGTTTCTGAAATGTTCACCAGGCGGCGTTAACTATAATTGCCCTTATCTCCGCTAAGGCTTAATGGATTTTGATAAACATGAGGTCGTGATTGCGATTGCTTACCTTGTCATCAGGTACCGTTTTCTTCATAATCGCAAAATATATATATTTTCGGAAAAAATGGGAAACGCAACGATATGCCTTTTTTATATCATTAGACAGTCAAATAACCCAGTGAAAGCCGCATCTAAATATCTTTTTCATAACCTAAAATATGAATAAAAGAACTTAGCGCTCAAAAGAAAGTTGGATTTTGGGAAAAATTTCCACTTTACGCGTTGTTACATTAGTGTAAAATTGGTTCTCATTAAATTACAAAATGACCGAAAATTAATTTAATTAATAATTAGGTTTAGTCAACTCACTGAAACTAATAAATTGTTGTAGGCTAATCAATTGTATTAATTATAAAACGCTAATTTATTATTTACGATGTTAAATGATATTTAAAATCAAGACAAAATTAAGACATTATTAAGACTGACCAATTTTATTAGTTACTGAATTATTGAAGTAGTAAAATTATTATTGAAATAAACAGTATTTTTCATTGTTCTTAAGGTGTTGATTTTTTCTAGGCACTGGATTACGATTAGTTTAAATAAGACACGTTTAATGCAATAAATATTGTTAAATTTTTTTGGACTCCCTTCTCTAAAATACTTAATTATACATCGATCAAGCGAAAAGTGCCATTTTAGGACGTTAGTTTAGTTACCGACGGCTGCGAACCCCTTCGGACATTTCCGGGAAATTGCCCACGGGTAAGTTCATTAAAATGCATTAAGCTTTTTTGGAGATATGAACATTTATTTACAAAATTGTTCGAAACAGCATTAAACAAAAAATATTTGAATTTGTCTCAGCTTTAAAACAGTGCTCATTTTGATTATGTTTAACATTAGAAATTTTTGTAGAAACCGAATTTTAAGATTCAAGGTAACTAACAAATTACTGAACCTCGAAAATAATTTTCGGCAGTTTCTCTTAGCCGATTTACTTAATAAATCTTTTTATTTCTATGAGCGACCGTTTCTCTAGTACCCTACAATCTTGCCCTTAATAGGACACCCGATATAGGTAAGTCACACTCTTGCACAAACTGTGTGTCGACTAGGGTTTAATCGAAACTTCTGAAAAAACGAAAAAAAACTCCTGTGAATATATGGCATAAAATGTGACAGATTCAGCCCTGGGTGGAAGAAAAAAGATGACTCTTTGTTGACTTTCACCATCAAGGAATATCCCTTCTGAGTTTTGTAAAATTTTCATGCCGTTGAAGAGAAT